GTCCGCCAGGGGGCGCCCTGCGGGTCCCGGCCCCGCGGCGGCTCCGGGTCCGCCCCGGGAAGCGCCGCGATCCCGGCCCCGGCAGCGCCCCCGCGGCCACCCCGGGCCGGGACCGATCCCGGGCCCGACGGGGGAGAGGCGGCACGGCCCGGGACCCCCGGCACACCCCAGCTCCGCTCGGCCCCGCACCCCCGGCCCCGGTCGCGGTCCCGCCGTAGCGCGCCGTGTAGATAGGCCCCCGCTAGGGCCGGCCCCGATTCCCGCAGCGCGCTCTCTTCCCGGGGCTTTCCCCCCCCGAGAGCACCGCGCCGCCGGGCCGGAACATCGCGCGGCTCACCCTCCGTCCCTTCCCTCCCTCCGTCCCTTCCCTGGGCCGCAGCCCCTCGCGGTTCTCGCCCGTCGCGCCCGCGGAACCAGCGCGGCTGGACGGCCGTGAGCGGGAGGAGCCGCTCCGGGCCGCCACCAGGACTTTCCATCGTCTCCGCCTGCTGCATTTTTCCCATGCCCGTTGCCTGCTTCTTGAAATAGGTGAGACCTGTCAGACCGCTGGGCTCATCTACGTCCCCGGTCCCCTGGGAGCTACCAAGAGTACTTGCTCCAGAGTTTCCAGAGGCACCAGAGCTGACCAACAAGGAGCTGAGTGGCAAGGAGGTGGCTCTCCATGCCACCAGGTGAGTGGTACTGCCTTTGGGCAGGTTACAAACCCAGAATAAAACCATTTTGATTGGAAACGACCCCTAAGATTGATCCCGATCAGCTCCTGACCCTTCATTCTCCCTTTAGTTTGGTGATTGAGATGATCTTCAGTTCCCTCAGGGCTACCAATCCCAGGGGCTGCACAGATCCCAAGAGGAGCCTGCAGCCCAGCACTCTGCCAAGGTGCCTTCACCTCCCAGTGCTGCCCTGGGAGAGATGTGCAAGGAGGGATCCAGGGGCCCAGAGGGCAGGGACCAGTGGAGTGGACACACAGGCATGTGCACTCATAACGCTGCTGGAGCCAGAGAGGCTCCAATGCTGTTTCCCTGCATCCTCCAATGGTTATTCCTGGCCAAGGAACACGTTCAGAAAGCAAATTTGACCATGGCAAGTTTCAGCCCAGAAACCAGAGGTTTTATGGAGAAGCCCAGGCACACTGGCCTGCCACACCCTCCCTGTGCGCAGGTGACAGGAGTTGGACAGAGATGCTGTACCATCCCCAGACCTTCTGGCCACTCTCCACATCCAACCGCTCCCCCCCGTATCCCAAAATATGCTTCAGTGGGTACAACACTAGGGTGTCAAGGAGTTCCTTTTATCACCAAACTGATTCTGGGATCTCGATTCGATCAGACAAGACTTGGCATGTAAAGAGGGAAAATGGACATGAACTCTCCCATAAATGCATAAAGTTACTTTATTTTCAGTATACATTTATTTAATTTTGAAAAATATAAATGCTAAAATATCTCATCATCTTCATCTTTTGATTCCATAAAAGTCACAATAGAAAGCTTCATAAAACTGTAAAATACTATAATGTTATAAGGAATTTCATTTTTTATATTACTGAAAAAAAAAAATCACTTTAATATGTTTGAAATGTTTTCTGCTTTTTTCCTTTTAGTTCCACCATCTGATCCACTTCATTTCATCCTAAGTCCTTGTTCTGTCCTCCAAAGAAAACACGGACTTACGAGAATTAAAAACAAGAATACAAGTAGCTGAAAGTGCGACTGGATTCAAATACGGATAAAAGGTGCATCGGCCCCGGGAAGGGGCAGCGCCGGCCGGCGGCCAGGGCGCTGCGGGGCTGGCACGGAGCTGGCTGGGGCCAGTGGCCATCGCGGCCCCACCGTCAGCTGGGACCTCGCATCTGCTGGGGGAGGGTAAATTTTGACGGCTGCCTCTGATCTTGGAGGGCTTTGGGTCAGTCTCCACACTTACTCCCTGAAGCGCCCACCCAGGCTTTTGCGACAAAAAACCTAGTTTGGATTGAAAGGACGTTCTAGTTATTCTCAAAGGCATGCTGCGCGCAGAGAACCTTTCCCTGCCATGCTGCAGGCTCTTCCTGCCGCCAGAGGTGGCTGTTTCTCATGGAAAGCTGCAGAACCCTTTGTCCTGTCTGCAGCGCTGCCCTCAGCACAACACAAAAAACACAGCACAAAAAACACAACACAGAGAGAAAGATCTAGAACAGCAGTCAGGACACTTCAAGTGCATTTAACACGGTTCAGAAGCAAAGCCCTCATTTTTGGGGAGACAGGTCACCAGGTACCTGGTGCTCGGCACCAGTGGATGGAAGCTGTGCCCACGGAACTGACCGGGACAGCCCCTGCCCCACCTGATGGCACCCCTCCTCTGGGATTGCTCCACATCCACGGTCTGGGCAGGATGTGCAGCAATCCCACAGGTGGCTCCTGTGGGCTCCAGAGGCAACGCTCCAGCCTGTGTCCCCACTGGGTGCCAGGAGTGCTGTTCACCACGGGATGGAGAGCACTGGCTAAAGCTGTCATCACACCTCCCAAGTTACCTGTCCTCCAGCAGCAGAAGGGATCCCAGAGCTGCTCCTCTTCAGGCCTTTCCCAGGTCTCCCCAGCATTTTCAGAGCAGGTTTCAGCCGGATTCCTGGGATACTCAACACAGATTTCATGGAAACTGAAGGGGAGACCCCTCAAGAGCAAGCAGGGGCTGTACAGAGGTGGTGGCTCCTGTGTGGGAGCAGATACTAAAATTTGGCATTTAAGGTCTCAGCACCATCAGAAAATCCTCTTGACTTCACCAACCCAGACTTTGGTTTCACAAGGACCAAGAGACAGCACATGCCCATCCTCTGTGCTGGGATTGTCTCCATTAGGGAATTTGCCTTGAGAGCTGGGGTACTTTTTCTTCTTGTTCTGTTTTTTATTTTTGGACGAAGCTTTCAGTGTGTTTCCCTACATCCTGGTGAAGCCCAGTTTCCCAAACACACCTTTAGATGCACACACCGGTATGAACATGCTACAGAGAGAAAAACCTCTCTCCTGATGTGATGTCCACCTGCTTGGTTCCACCCCAAAATCCTGGGATGCCCATGCCTGGCCTGCTTAGTCTTGCTGCATTGCCGGGTGTGGGGCTGAGTAGCCAAGGTTTAGGGTAAATTCTGTAGATGATGGTACACAGGGGTGGGATGCAGAAGGATGCGGATGTTTGTGAATCCAAGTGTCAGGATGAACTTCCCAGCAGGCCACCTTCATCTTCCTCCTCATCCACTGTGCCTGATGAGGTATAGACCCAAGGTACACCTTGGATCTTCTCAATGCACACCCACACACACACACAGCGGTGTTCCAAGAAAATCATGGAGCGATCCCACGTCAGCCATCAGCAACAGGGATTTTAACCAGCCACATCTAATCTGTCCATTTAGACTCCTCTAAGATCACAAGAGATTTAAGTCTCTTTGACAGCAGGGATTGCTTATCAAAAAAAAAAGAGTCCAAAAACCAATTTAACCCTAAGAAAAACAGACACTTCGGAGCAGAAGGTGTTAATTGAACTGATCCAGCCCTATGCCACATCCTGGAGATTGTGGTGTGATGTTGCGGGTTTGTTTTTTGTAAAAATCACATTATATATGGTACAATACATTTTTTTACAGAAAGCCTGGCATCTAGAAATAAGAGGTAGAACTACTCATAACTATATGTTTCCTGCTGCAGGAAAAAAATTCATTTTTCTTTACAGTAATTAAAAAAAGGTTAAAAAAATTGTCAAAAAAAAAAGTCGTAGGTTAGGCCCCCATAATTTAAACAAAATAATCTAGGAAAATAACACTCTTCCATGTACCTGACGGATTAAGTCCATTAAAGTGTTTCTTTAAAAAAAATTGCATAGGAAAGGGACATTTCCAAACATGCTACAGCGATGGCAATGGTCTGTCTGTGCTGGGAGTGAAGTACCTTCTCTTTTATCTACAGATGAGAGCACGTGAGGGTTAGCAGCACGTTCCAGCATCTCGGAGCAGCGGGAGCAGACATGGAATTAGCCTGGAGGTCAGCTCTGTTCTGCCAGACGAACGGCGGCTCACAAGAGCCGGCGCCTCTGGCGTTCCCGCAGGGCTGCCGTGAATCCGGAACGCGGTTCCGGAACGCTCCTGCCCTCGCCGCGCTTGGAGCCGAGCAGGAGGCGCTCCGAGTCCCGGGCAGCGCGGGGGCTCCGTCACCTTCACCGTGGGAGCAGGGAGCTTCTTAACATTTGGCTAGTGACAAAATGAATTCGTAAAAGATCAAACAGACAGACAAATTACAAAGTAGTTTCTGTTCCCTTGCTCCTCCAGAAATAACCATTGTCTTCAGGCTCAAGTTCTATTCTAATTTGAGGCACAACTTTTACTGGAGTTCGTGGAGGGCTGCAAAGAAGAAGACAGACAAGGTCAGAGCGGCACGAACGCTGGGCTTTGGGAATACACAGCCAGATTGGAGGCAAGGCCCACACACAGATCGTCTGAACATTGCTCACAGCAGCGGGCAGACCCACCCCATTTCACTGACCGCAGAGCTCCAAGTGTCCAGCACTTGTGCCTCATAGAATCCCAAAATGTTTGGGTTGGAAGGGACATTAAAGCTCATCCAAGGCCAGGGGCCACCTTCCACTAGACCAGGTTTTTCCAAGACCCATCCAACTTGGACACTTCCAGGGATGGGGCATGCTGGTGCTTCACCCCAGGCTGTGACAATACCCCTCAACTGCCATTGAAATAATCCGGGCATCACCATGGGGAAGAATTTCAGCGCCTGTCTGACACCTGCAAGCACAGACACACCTTTGACATTTCAGAGGAATAAACTTGCTTTGCTCCACATCACAGTCCTGCTGCTGGGAGGCCGAAGCTGGCCCCAAGGGACTGGACTCTGAGCAATTATTACTTGCTGCAGTTTAAGATTATTATTTACTATATTTCCCACCACAGATTTTATGGAAAAATGGATTATTTCCCCTTAGCAACAATCCTCCTCCCAGTAGCTCCACGTCTTTCTCCTGCTCTTGATTCCCAAACCAGTCCTCAGTGCAGCAGCCAGGAGGCCAGTGGAGCCTTCAGGTCTCTCACAGCTTCTCCACTCCCCATCCCAAGCACTGCCAGGGGCTGGAATAACTATGGAATCAACTTGTTCATGATCACCTTGGGAAACAGCAACCCAGTGTAGGGAATGTTCTGCAGGAACATTCTGAAGCACATTTCCCTGTAGGAAATTCGCTGTGTTCTGAGGGGGGCAGAGGTGCATTTTTGGGAATCATTCCAAAGCGCGTTTGCGGGTGCTTACCTTGGCATGGCGTGTGATTGAAGGAAGGGAATTGTATCAGCACGATGTGTGGCGTTCAAGGAATGTCGGTGATTTTTCTCCTGGGGGAAGAAAGCCTCGGTGTCACTGCTGGGCGCCTCAGCCCTGCCTCAGCTGCTCCAGCCCACATCCATGGGCCAAGCTCTTCCCCTGTTAGCTGCCAGATGGATTTACAGGCGCAGCTCCCCAGGAGTTCTCCCCATTTCGGGCCTGACGCTTCCCTGGGCTCTCCCCACTCGGTTACCCCGCGCTCCCCCTGTCACACCCGGGTCCCTGGGAGGAGCAGGGTGGCTTCTCTCTGCTGGCCCTGTGGGAGCCATGTGCTCTGGGATAACAGTGCTGTTCCTGCTCTGGCCGCAGGAAAGCTGCTCTTACAGTACTAGCAGGAATGTGCTCTGGATCAAAGAGCTACACTCAAGCACAATCCCACAGTGGTGCTGGATTCCAGCTTTTTTTTTTTTTTTTTTTTTTTTGGTATTCCGGTGGCCTGATGCATTTTAATTTTTATTTTGCATTGGTTTTAATTAGAAACAAGCAAATAAGATACTGGATTATAAAAATATACAAATACACAGATCAATGACAGCTCAGCCCATGGCTGATTTTCTCTGTTCCATCTCCAAGGGCATCCCAGGAATCAGGTTGATGCCAATTACCTTTTCCTTAACTATTTTAGCCCTTAAAATGTTGGAAAAAAGGCATCTGGTTCCTAAAACCCCGAATAACAACATTTAGGATGCAGTTTGTTTTTAGTATCAGGAATGTACTAAAAACATGGAATGAGGAGGCTATGAAGTTGCCTGTGGCTGATTTTGGATGATGTGCTGACATTAGCAAAACATTGAGAATATCCGAATAGCCAAGAAAATGCCTCCTTTCCGATGGTTTTATTTTATAAACCCAATCTCTGAGTGTTTCTGTATCTAAAAGCCACAGGCTAATGCTTACCATTCCCTGAGACCTCTAGGAAAGGAAGGAAACTGGTTCCCAGATCTTAAGACTTATGGATAATTTAAGGACCTAAAGATCTGGGGGTTTAGGTCCTGCTCCTAGGAAACACTAGCCAAGCAGTAGCACTAATTTGTTACTCTAATTAGTACTTCTCCCCTCCCACCTCAGAAGAAAAGAGCATATGACACCCTTAGGATGTTAAAAAGTCATCCCAAAGGCAAAAACACCAAGTTCAGCTGTGATTCCTCCCTTAAAAGAGGAAAATGTGAAGTGGGAATGACTGAAAATAAAGATTCAATTCAACAATTACAGCTATTTACATCAGAAATTACAACCAAAAATAAGAGCACAAACCACCTAAGAAGGGAAATATGTTAATGGCCAACTGATCTTGCCTGTGCAGCTTAATGACACAAATAAATAATTACTCTGTTAAATGCTGCTTTTTGCTACTGTTTGGCACCTAAGGGAACAAACAGTGAAAGGACAGTGCTGCAAATCCAGAACACCAGGCTCAGTGGAAAAAAAATAAATCCCACCATCAGCAGGTTAACACCAAGGGGGAAAGGGAGAGGAGAGGAAGAGAGAGTGGGTGGCCAGGAGACCTGTCAGGAGCTGGAGAAAAGCACTTAAATTGGAGGCACCAGAAGGAACAACATTCATTTTGTAACCAGCAAAGAAAAAAAAAGCTCACAAAAGCAAAATCTGTCATAAAGCAGGGGCCTGGAAATTAAAAAGGAGAGGGAAGGAAAAAAAAAAAAGAACAAGAGAATACTTCTGAAGTAAAAGGAAAGATTAAATTTTTTTAATCACTCTAAATAGACATAGATATATTTTTGTAGTGCAAGTCAGAGTCAAGCAGGCATGCAAGAGCTCAGTTCTACTCACTGTCAGCAGGTTTGCTATCACTTAGGAAAGGTTCCTGCTCCATGATGTCCATTGGTATTTTAATACTTGGGACTTTTTCTGAGTAGGGGCAGTCAGACTGTGAAAGAAACGTGTAAAAGGTCTTAGAATATTCCCACTGCTCTCTCTCTCATCGTCTCCCACACATTAAAATTATCCTTCACATAGTTCTGTAGGAACAGGTAAAAGAAAAGAAGGGAAAAGAAAAAAGCATCCTCCAGCTTAGCTGCCTGATGGATTCCACTGGTTCCCCACTGCATCCCACTTCCCTTGATTACCTTCATACCCCAAAAATAAAACAGAAAATAATCATCTTGTGGAATATAAATTGAAATACATCTCCTCTTTCCCACCCCATCATCTCAAAAGAAACCATCCCATTCTGCCTGGAGTCGGCTGCAGGAAATAGAGATGGAAAACGCATTTGTGGGCAGACACAGCAGGGCACTGGCTGCTGGAAAAGCTCCTCCAAACCCTTTATCCTGCTGGGATTCTTGTAAAAGCCTTTGGTTGTTCCCAATTGCTCTACAGGGCCCAGATATGACATGGCAGAGGCTCCCTATTTAATGCAAGTGGAATCAAACTCAGTCTCAGTTACACCTCTGGTTCATCAGTTCCAGAGCCCTGGGAAGAATTCTGTAACCCTGGCCCAGCCAGAGAAACAGCACCCAGGTCAGGATGGGGCACAGGGAAAAGCTGGGCTCCCCCAGAGCTGGGGCACTGCCAGGGTTTTACACCCCCCTGCCTGCTGTCACCCACCTGCTTCTGCTTAATAGGAGCTGCTTGGAATTGTTTTGCTTTTTTAAAAAATAAAGGGAACTCCTCATAGCCAAGGAAAGGCTGTTACTGCCTAACTTGGCAAAGGCAGGAAGGTGGGATTTGCCAGAAATGTTGGGACATCTTTGTTCCTGAAGAGAACCAGACCCACAACACCAGGGTGGAGGGAGGAGATCTTCCAGTCAGGGCAGGAAAACACTAAGGAAGCCAGAGACTGGCTCTCCCTGGATTATTATTCTTATTTTTCATTTATTTTTTAATAAAACTGATAACCAGTGCCTTATTTCATACTCCAATATCAACATGTTTCCTTATGACTATTTTTATGAGGCTGAGGGACAAGCATAACACAAATAAAGCACAAGCAACACCCAGTAATTCCCTTGGCTGAACTTGGATCCATGCATTGCCACCCAGATCCCACAGGATTAACTCTGGGGGTGGATATTTCTGGAAGGGAAAGTGTGAAAAAATCCAGTCAGTAATGCCCAGTGCTGTAAGTTCAGGAAGCTGGTAAAAGCAAGTGCTGAAAAAAACCAGCAAGAGTTAAGAACCAATATTTTGCATAATATGCCTTATCCATTAGATTTATTAATGCACCTGGAATTCAGGAAAAGCCTGGGAAGAGAGGAAATATCTTAAAATGTAATGGAGAGAGGGCAGTCATGGCTTGGGATATGCTGCTGGATTCACACCAGTCAGCAGGAGGGGATGGAGTCAAACCTTTGCTGATTGCTCAGCAGAGCCTCTTTTACTCTCATCTGGGTTTGCTCAAAGGTGCTGAAGAAAACCCTCGCCCTGGGAAGCAGAGCAATGATGGAACAGGGCAGCTTGCTGATTGAACTAAAGCAAACCCTCCCAGCTGCTCTTGCTGCTGTGCTAAAAGGGAATTATTTTCCAGCTTCAGGCGACCTTACCTCTCCCTACAGCCCAGGAAAGGCCCTTCTCCCTGGACATGTGCAGAGGAAGTGACACCAATCTTAGAACTCACCACAGAGTGTGTTTAGCACTTCAACATAAATCTAAAGGATTTGAGTTAGACCTGAGCAAGAGAACACTTAAAGGCACCAAGACTAAATTTCTTCTTCTTATATATACAGGAGGAAAGAGAACAGTCAAAGGCACACGAGTCGGGTCTAACTGAGTCACTATTCACTATTTAGGGCATGCTGCCACCTGAGGTAGGACCAGAGTGTACTGCAGAGGGCACAGGTGCTCAGGAAACATGTAGGTGGTGAGTTTTACCAACACAAAGCAGTTTTTTCCTGCAGTAGGACAAATCACATCTATTTGGTGCTTTCCAAAAGAGCCATTACAAANAAAAAAAAAAAAAAAAAAAAAAAAAAAAAAAAAGCCCAAAAAAACCCCAGTAGGACCAGAGCTGCTGGTGAAAAGCATTCTCCTCCTAAAATGTAAGAGACAATGAAGGGGAGAAAGGCATAGGAGGGAAGCTGGAGGAGGCAGGGTGATGAGAGGCATTCTAGCAAGGGGCATCGCATCTCAGCAGGAACCTGGTGCTCTTGGAAAGTGTGATTTCATTCCTAGCAATGCACAAACCACCCACCACAGGCTGGAAAAGGGAAGGCAGTGTAGGAATTAAGTTTTCTTTAGGATCCATTTGCTGCAGCAGCGGAAGACCGAGCTATCAGCTCCAAAAGTGGCTCTTAAATGTCCAGCCCCAGCACTGGGCAGGGCATGGAATGTGTTGGGGGTTAGCTACCTAGGGAGCAGCAATGTGACAAGAGCTCCTTACATCATCATTGTCACTGTCCATACTGCCCTTCTTCTTTTTCTTCTTCTTCTCATCCTCTTTCTTCTTCTTGTCCTTTTCTGGAATGACGTCATCAAGAAAGCTTAAGTCATGCTGGGAAAAGAGGTAGTCCATGGCTTTTCTGACTGCCACCAGGGCCAAGATCTGCAAAGGCAGAGAGGGATTCCCAGTCACATTTTACCTTTCACTTGGCACACTGCATTCCTCTCAGCTCTGCTTCTAAGCCCACACTCTTGAATTCTGGCTGTAAATGAACATACAAAGAAGGTGGTGAACACCTGGGACATCTGTGTCAGCTTAAGAGGTTGTGCTGTGACTGCCTCATGTCAGAAAATATCAGAAGCAGCGGATACTCTTGTATATAATATTCCTGTATTAGGAAATAAATAGGAAAAAAAATGAGCACTTTCATTTACTTTTAGAGGCAGGTTCACAGGACAGCCTGAGTAATAAAACCTTGACTTATTTCTCACCACTTCCCCAGCTGAACTCTCAAGAAATGAGACAAGTGCCAATCCACGCCCCCAGAGTTTGCAGAATAAAGTTTACTGGGATTGTGGCAGCAGGAAACTGGAGTAAAAGCTTGTTCTGTGCAAGACTGCAACGAAAGCGCTGGGAAGAAAGGAAGGGGCGTGTCTGAAACGTGTGCTTACATGGACACTGGGTACAGCAACAGGCTGGCAGCTGTAACCTATTCCCAATGGGCTGCCTTTAAGGACAGCTTTGTCCCAAGCAATCATGATCACAGCACAAACAACTCCCAGGAAAAGATCTCCAGCTCTGACTTGCGTAACCGAAGACGCGATTACAGACGTGAGGAGTCACTCAGGGGTGGAACGACGCCACGCAGACACCCGTGACCATCCCACTATGAGTTACTGTGTTGACCATGCCTTTCCTCCAAATAAACAGGGAGCTGGCTATTGGCCACATCCTCGCAAAGTGAAGTTTGCAGTGCTTTGCTCACAAGTGCAGAAAATTGAGCTTTTGTCATCATATCCAGCTCCATGGAAGCTGTGGCTGTGCCTTTCCCGAGTCTGCACCATTCTAAAAAACTTTATCAGCCTTGGGTTTCACTCAGATTCTAACATAGGCAAAAAGGTTTTAGATTCAGCTTCCAACATGAGTGCAACACAGCCATGGAGTTGTGATGGAATGCCACACCAGTGAGAATTACTGATTTTTAACATCCTTCCCAGGAATATGTATCTCAGCAGGAACATTTGGAGGATTTTTTTTAAACTGGCATCATCTTTTCTCATTTCACCATCTTGTTCTTTACCTGGTTCTGCCTCCCTCCTTCTCTCCCTTAAATAAGCACTGCAGCTCCTACCTGCCCCCACAACTCAGATTTTACTTGTCCATAAACCTGAAATTAGGCGATCTGAGACCAAGATTTATTCAGGAGTTTCATAAGGCTTTGCCTTTGCCCAAGTCAGACCCATCTCCAAGACAGAGATCTGTCTATAGACCTAGTAACAATATGAATAGTCACACATAGATGGTAGACAACATTAGTGTCTCTTAATTTGAGTCCAAGGAAAAAAGACATTCCCTTTCTCTCCCTTTGGCACCTCTCTTAGTGCTGAGCCTCCTTCTTGGTTTTGTCAATTTGTGCTCTTTAAAATCCAGGGAGACATTTTGTATCTGGTAGCTAGCATGGACTAAACCAGAAAAACTATGCCCCTCTCCTTGGTTCATGCAGCTCAAGGAGAAACCACAGCAAATCTAACCTTGGCAGCCAGGAATAGTCAACACTAACTACACCTTCCTGGGAAAAATTAACTTTCCAGGCTCATTTTCCTCCAGAGGATTTCTGGAAAGGCAGCCACAGCCACACTGAGGCCATGCAGTCCTACATGAGTGCCACGAGTGGAGCTGTGAGCCAGACACTCAGCAGGGAGAGGTTGGATTTGTACATTTACAGGAGTGTAGAAGCAGGGAAGGAGCAGGCTGTGGTGAAAGGGAGGGATGTGAAGGAGAGCAGCACCTACCATGACAGGGAATATGATAGCAGCCACGGTGGATTTGAGGATCCAGAGGAGGGCCAGGCATACCACCTGCAGGAAGGTGAAGAGGTGGACCCTGCGCAGCGGGACGTGGCGCAGGTAGATGAAGTCAGGCTGGTGTTTTAGAGGCATCAAGAGCAGCTTCAACCGATCCATGAACTGGAAATGAAAATGAAGAGATGTTGAAATGAAACCCATGATGCACAAGAAAGACAGAAAACAAGATGAATGCCCAAACCAGGGTCAGCATCACACTCTGGGGCATTTTTGCTGTCTTCCCCTTCCCTGCGCCTGCCAAGGAAAGACGTTCAGCCTTTAGGAACAATGCTTTTGTTTTTCCCAAATAAATCAGGAGCAGAGGTCAACAGAGGCGAGGGCAGACATTGCATTGGCAGAAAACAGAACAGCACCTCACTGAAGAGCAAGGAAGACGGGCAGCTTTCCCAGCAATGTCTCTTTGCCCTGTGCTGGACCGGATGGACTTGGAGTTAAACCAAAATGGGGATTTCTCATTGAGTAAAAACCACTGTTGATCCCAGTCCCCCCACCACCTGGGTCGGTACAGGGGAAATCCCCTCCAGGAGAGCCAGCCCCGGGGCCAGCAGGACAATCCCCTCGTTGTCCCCTACCGGAGCCAGACCAGACGGAACCGCACCAGTGAATGGAAGCTGGAGCTGTTTCACAGAAAGCCTGAGGGAATTCTGGGGCTCACAGAACAGGCAGTCCCTTCCCCTCAAGGCACAGCCCGGCAGGAAAAAGAAAGGCCACAATTAACAGGGTGCCAGAAAGCCACAAAACCACTTCCAGCCTCCTTGGGCCAGCTACAGGCACTAGGCATGAGAATGGCTCCTTATGTAAGATTTCCTCAATGACAAAGAGAGGGGCGTGGCTTCCCCTCCCTGGAGAACAATGTCCCTGCTCCTTAGCATTGAGGAGCAGCCCCGCTGCCATAAATCATCCTCCTTCCTTGCCTTCAGTCTGCAGCAGAGGACCCAAACTACCCTGGGAGTGAGCCAGAGCTGGGGCAGAAGCCTGTAGGATCCTGGAATTGTTTGGGCTTGAAGGGATCCTAAGGGGATCCTGTTCCACTCACTTGCCATGGGCAGGGACACCTTCCACTAGACCAGGCTGCTCCAAGCCCCATCCTGGTTGCCAAAGATGGACCCAGGTCTTCACAAAGCACCCCCAGCACTGCCAGTGCCCACCTGGCCACTGTCCCTTGGTCTCCCATCTCAGGACACCCGGGTTTGTGGCAAAGTTTGCCAACAACTGCCACCCTCCATGGGCTTCTTGGGAAGGAGGAGGAGGCAGTGAAGGAAAAGGGTTGTGGAAGAAGCCCTGTGCTGGTTAGGACTCACCTGCACGCCGTTGAGAGATGCAACTCCCATGTAGAGGAAGACACCGTAGAGCACAGGCATGGGAATGAACTGTGGGACAAGAAGAGCAGGAGAGCCCAGGTGAGCAACCTCCCCGTACGCCACGCACCGTTAGCACATGGTGGGACAGCATCCCCAGCCTGTCAGCAATTCAGGCTGCACCCACGAGTGGACAACACGGAGGAATGAAGCCATGGAAGTCAAAAAGCAAAATAAAGCTGAATAAACATAAATCCTCCTGCTGTGTTCGGAGAGAAGCAAGGACATTTGTGCAATCACACTCTCCCATTTCACCAGGACTTGGATATCTTGTCAAGAGCCAGAGGGAATGATGCCAGTCATTCAGCAAGTTAAGGAACAGGTGTGCAAACGTGTTCCAGTGAGCTTCAAACTGCCTTTCATTTCTGATTTGTGGTGTGACTGGAAGCAGAAGGCAGAGAAAAGGCAACACGATTCTGTAGTTTGTGGTATACCCCGTTTTCCCAGGTAACAGGTGATGGAACAACAGTAAATGGACTCAACCTGTGCCAGGGGAGGTTTAGGTAGGATATTAGGAAAACACATTCATAGAAAGGGTTGTCAAGCCCTGGCACAGGCTTTCCAGGGCAGTACTGGAATTGCCATCTCTGGAGGAATTTGAAAGCAGCACTTGGGGACATGGTTTAGTGGTGACTTTGGTGGCTGGTGGAACTGTGTGATCCTGGAGAGCTTTTCCAATTGAAACAATCCTGTGATTCCATGTCCAGTCCAGCTCAGTAAGCCATGCAAATCCATGCAGAAAGGATGTTCTTTGGAGTCCCACCTAAGCAACAACAGCCATGCCAACCCAATCTCTGCCTGCTCCATCTCTCACACACATTAATCCAGAATTACTCCCAAATATGGGACTCACTTCCCTTCTTTGTTGCCAGGATGTGTTCTTTTAATCACTTTCTGCTCCCTCAAAGTTATAAGTGCTGTCCATACCTCCACACAGGGCACATCTCACTTTGGGAGTGAGGAAGGTGCAGGAGAGCAGCAGACAAGCTCCCTGGAATGAGTCTCTGTCCCTCACAGAGAAGTGGGCAGCCAGCCTGGCATGACAGGAACAGGGATGCTTGGAACAAACCACAGGCAGAGGGTGAATAATAGCCTCTGTAGGATTTACTGGTGCCCAGGGAAGATGGAATGAGCTCCAAAGGATAGTCCCTAGTGCAGTGCCAGGGGGCTGCCACTGAATGTAAGCCACAGCCAGGCCACAGCACCTACTGCTCCCAACACTCCTGCACTAGGAACCCTTCCCTTCCAACCCCTGCACTGAGCTCATTAGAGAGGCCAGTGTTTTAGCATATTCCCCATCACCTTGCTCATCCCTTCCAGCAGGCATTTCCCTGGGGGCACATGAGCACCAAAGTCACCCAGCCATATGCTATCCAAAGCCTCCCTGCCTGCATTTCTCCTTCCTTCCTGAGTCTCACTGCCTGTCCCCTCTTGTGAAGTTCTTAACTGTTAACTCATCCTGCTCTTGGATTTATTTGCTCCTTTGAGTGAGCCACACTGGTATTTCCCATTCGAAGGTAAATGCCTTTTCTGCAGCATGGGCTCTGCCAACACCTTTGCTGTGAGAGGGACAGGGACCCAGCGGGGGTTCCCAAAGCTGTGGGTAATCACGGGATTCAAAGTCTTCACTGTATATGAGGGATGTCACAGGACACAATAGTAACTACAGTAAGCAAGAGTTGAGCCTGCCAGCTCATTTTCACTGCTCTCCTCTCCTCCCCCTCTATTTATTTACATGGGGTTTTTTAAAATAAGAAAAATGTGTGAATATGATTTCACCATTCCATGATGACGAATCCTGTAGCTCATCCCGAGGTGAAACCTCAGTACCTTAGCCTGCAGAGCAGCAAGCTCTGTCATTTTGGAAGACTTTCTCTTGGTGAAGTATTCCCTAACGATGGGGGTGCTGGCTTCGGCGCTCCAAGCAAAGTTGCTGCAGGCCAACAGGACTAAAACTGTATTTAGAGAAAAGTGCCTATCACCCTCCTAGCAGGGCCAAGGATGTTTCCGTGGAAATCTGCCTTGGCTGAGCAGAAACACCATCACCATCCAAAACCAGCACAACAACCACAAAGCCCTCAGCAAACAAAGCTGGGATTATTCAGTGGATTGCCTGGTTTATTAAATTTGAGATTGTCAGCATTCAATTTGCCGCTGGCAGGAGAAGACTGAAATGTTCTGCAATGCATTTAGCAGCACAGCTCTCTCCAGCAGCACCCTGCCACTGGAATTTGCTAAAGGTCCTGAAATCCTGCCAGGTCCTTCCCACTGGCACGTGGGCCAGCAGCATGCTGACTTATCCTCAGGCGTCCTCCAGCGAGGATCTTCCCCACACATTGTCTTAGGGGAAGCACAGACAAATAATTACTGACTGAAGCAGTAACAGGGGAAGTAACAGACCCCAGTGGAATAGAGGAAGAGGGATCTTGCAGGGAAAGGACTCATAAACTAAAAGACAGGATTATCACAATCAAGCATTAAATGAAAGGCACGGAAATGCCTCTTTGTGTGGCAGTGGAAACTGTTACCCAAGACACCAAAATTCGGGCTGTACAAATGGCCTTAGAAATGAAGAACAGGACCACACTGGCTTGGAAAGCCACTGTCTCCACTCCCTCCACGGGCAGAGTCACTGCTCCCTGCCTGCCTCCTCCCCTCAGGCTCACATCACACCGTGCCTTGCTGCCCCTGCAGTCTCCAAAAGCTCATGAGCAGCCTCCAGAAACACTCCTCCAGACACCCATCTGCTCGGCCCCACAGTTACGATGCACAGCGCTGCTGCTCTGACATATTCTGCTCCTACCATCAGCCTGTGGATCCATGGATAAGGGCTCCTGCAGCCAACATCTCCTGTTGGACAGTATGTCCGTGCTTGGCACCACTTCCATCACTATCCCCAGAGAAGGCAGCATCCTCCAAAGAGAGGCATAAGCAGGTTTTCCAGTTTCCTTCTACAATCTGATGATCCACTAAGGATGCATTTCTCCATGGCTACATGCCACCAAATCTCTGGTCTTGGAAAACAGCAACCTACATAGATGCAATGGTCCATCAGCAGCACATCTGTCCAGAGCCTTGGCTAAACTTACAGGATAAAAAGGGTTCAGGAGATGAAGAAATGCCCTTTAAATGCACTGCTTCCTTCAGAAACATGTTTTCCATACTCTAAGCTTTATCCAGAATATGTTTTCCATAAAACAAAGGCCCAGTAGTGGTATAAAAGAAATCATAAAAGAAAAAAGAGAACTTAACTTTATGCAAACATGGAAAAATAACTTTAAAATTAAGAAGACCACAGCGCCGAAGAACCCCAGCCCTGAACTTGGTCACTGTTCCAGCACACTACAACCATGTTGGTGTTTCCTCCCAAAAGGTTTGGATCTAAGACTTCAAAGAAGTGTGAACAGTTGTTACCTTCAGGATGGGAGCCATGAAGACAGACACCCCGGTCAGGATGAAAACAATGACGCCGGTGACTCTCTGCTCCCTGAAACAACATCACCGAGTCAGGACCACAACAGGAATACCAACAGGAATCCCCAAAACTCATTTTTGCAGCCAACAGCATCAGGCAGGTGGCTGGATCCTGACCCAGACCTCTGTTTTAAACTCCAGACAGTTTTGTTACACTGTTTGGGGATCAACGCAGCACTGCAGCTGAGCCTGAGGCAGCGTGCTCCCATTCAAGCACCACAAAAGGTGCGGCAGTGCTCCCACATTCACACCTTCACGGGGTGCTCAACATGTGCCTTCAACAGCACCCACAGGGCTTCCCACATCCAGAAATACCTTGGCCAGCAATATTGCAGAATGCTGAAAGTCAAGCCATAAAATTTCCATCTAGTTACCTAAATAAGCTGCCTGATTTCCAGGAGTAATCCCACTAGAAGTGCTTCAGACCACTTAATTAAGGCATCCAAACACAGGAAAAGAAGTTTCATTAAGTGAAGCTAGTTGCACTAGGTATGACAGGTTTGTATATTTGACCATTACATTTGATAAGGAATTTTTTTAAATTCCCTGGACAGAGAAGTCTGCAGAAAATTTATTTCCTTTAACACAGGAACACTGTGTCTGATGTGGCCAAGGAAACTTTGGAGGAGCCACATGGGGGCTTGCCCAAGGAATTTGCTTCGGAAATAGGGAGAAGGCCACACAAAATTCTTGTACTAAAGGATTTTGCAGGCAAACGAGATAATTAAGTCTTCCTGGTGGGACATACCTCACTCCCAAAAACTTGGGCTGTTCTCCAGGGGCTGAAGTCTCTGTCTCCATCTTCAAGCTGTCGATGTGAGCGATGGAGATGACAGTAGCAGCCACGTACCAGGGCAGCCCCATAAAGGAGCAGACAATCATCAGAATGGCCACCCAGAACAAATCTAGATGATATCCAGCACCTTTCTGTGGAGGGAGACAAACAACCTTCAGCTTAATTATTCCAAAGGTCTCCAGAGCAGGGCAGAGGCACAACGGACAGGCAGCATTTTCTCCTGCAACATCCTGGCCAACAGAGCCAAACACCAGAAATACATCAGATCTTGTGAATAGCATAAGAAAGCATCTCCCTCAGGACACAACCCAAGGCTCCTTCAGAAGTGCAACAAGAACACCTGAGGCCTCATTCCCTACCCAAAGGAGAAAGCTGCCCTTGATCTTGACTCCTTTTCAAACACCTCTAATCCTCTATTTTTAAAATCCTTTAATGAAATAAACCAGGAATTCCAGCAGTCACAAGTGCCAAGAGAAGAAGAGAAGAAACAAAAGAGCCACCAAGAAAAGGGATCTTCAGAAAAACAGCAGACATACCTCTTAAGTTTGCTATTTTAAAACAGATTAACCTTTTTTAAATCCCATTAAATTTGATTTTATTGGAAAAAACAAATGATTCAGGCCTAGGATGACCCAGGAGGGAGGGCAATCCAGCTCCTCTTGAATAGTCCTCACTGTTTTCCTGACACATGAGCTGCTTACCTTGGCTGGCTAGTGCCACCGGGATGGGCACCCAGCAATACCCTGCCAACACTTCAGCAAGGGATGAGCAGAAAAAAACACCTTTTTCCTACAGCAGATCTTGTGCGTAGAAGTGTTTTTTGGTGTGGAACAATAAGATGGGGCTTGTAAACCCTCAATTCCACAGAATACCATACTCACACCATAAACAAAGGAAGCAGGGAATACATTTTACATCAAACATTACTTTCTTGGAGTGTTTATAACTTTTGTTACTAAAAAAGTACAGCCAGTGCTGACAGCAAAACCACATTCAGTGGTTCATAAGCTGCAAAGATGAGGGGCCTCTTTCTCATGAGGGAAAAACAGGGAATATTTTCTTACAGTGTTGAAGAAAAAGCTATGTCTGCTTGGTTAGGTGCAAGAGACAGACCTAAAACTGTTTATCCATCTCTGAGGAACACGAGGGCCCAGTATTGAGTTTATCTGCCTAGATCCAGGTAGCAAACAAGGATGGTCTGAGGGTTTTTTTAAAACTATCAGCCAGCATTCATCACTGTGCATAAGAAACTTTTCCCATTCCCAGGTACTTCAAAACTCTCTCCTCCAGGTTGGGCTCAGGATGGTCTTAAATTACACATTACTTGTCTAATGTTTACAGTGACTACATGAATTGAAACATCCTCCTCTTTTCCAAGCAGAAGCTCCCTTCCCATTTCCAACAGCTCTCCCAGTAACTCATGAAGCAGGTGTCTAAATAATGACCCACCATTACCTGTGTTTTGAGGGAGCCATGAATCCCATGGGTCAGACCATTTGAAACATGCCCTGTTATCAGGAAGGGAGAATCTTCTTTTACAGGAATTTAATATTTTTCAATAGAACTGACTGTACAGGGAAAGGAAAAAAAAAAAAACCTACAGGCAAGAAAAACTGCATATCACTGGCCTGGAAAATTTATTTTAAAAACATGACTACATCTTAGGCTGTTACATATCAGCTCTTCTTTAAATAACATGCAATTGGGGCTATGCCTTTGCTATGTTCCAGATCTCTCCAGCTTCTTGCTGGTGTTTGACAGCACTGTGAAGCTTTGGCCACAAAGCCACTTTTCCAGTGCCAAGGAAGAGGCTCATGTCCACGAGGAACGAAGGTGGCAGGGGGAAAAGCCCCTGCACGTGCACCAGGTACACCCACCTTGAGCTTGTGCTCCTTCCTGTTGACGATGACGGCAGTGATCTGCTGGTCCATGAAGATGAGGATGGTCACCAGCAGGGCAGGGATGGCTGCTGCCAGGTACACCCACCAGGGGTTCCCTCCAAAAGGTGGGATAAACCAACCCCTCTCGGGACTGGTCGGCTTGGAAGGAGAAGGAAAAGAAAGCCTGTGTTAGAGGCGCAATACAGGGGTGATGAAGTCCCAAAGCCAGGTTTGCTTCCCGCATTGGAGCTCCTGGGAGACACTTCAGGTTTGTGGCAATTTCATCCTTCCCATTAACACCAAGCAAAGGCTCCAAGTATGGAGGCAGAATTTAGGAGATAAACCAGCCAATGAAAATGATGCTAACAAAAAGCCTCCTAATCCTATAAGTAAACAGGCCCTTTCCAGACCTCTGATTATATTCCCATTCTGAGGGCAAGGCACTCCATACAGGGCAGGTGTGAGGGAAAAAGAACCTCTTCCAAAAGCCAGCAAACAAGCTGACGACAACATACCTTGAATTCACTTGGCACAATTAGTTTTGGTGTGTCCACACCAACCAGGGCATCTATTCCACAGAAGATCAAAATGGACAGGATAATGGCAAAGTCACTGATGAGCTTCCGGGCCTGAAAGAGACATGGTATGATAACCACAGGAGTTAGCACCATGGAACACCATTTCATCCATGCTTTAGTGTCTACATGACAAACCCTGGCAAGGCAAGACAAGCTCATAATTTCTTCTCCCACAATTATGCCCACCATCATGTCCAGTGCCACTTGCCACACATGCCTTGGTACTTTACTGTGTTCTCTGAAAACCTAAATGAAAGCACAGAAACAACACAAACTTGCACAAATTAGATATTCTCAAGGACTGGCAGAGATTACACTGTTTGCTGTTCAAGTAATAAGTCAAACTAAGCAGACAGGAAAACAAACCAGGCTTCTCAGCTAAATCCCTAAGACTGGAGCTCTTCTGAAGTAACTGGAATACAACAACTTAGAGCTGCCACTGATCAGACCCCAGAATTTAACTAGTCAGGAACCACTGTGCTAGCCTGGAACTGTGTGAGCTCTCTAGAGCTGTTGTTCCTTCCAGGTTTCCTGGGTTCACATGGTTACAGATAAATTGAGCTGCATTCCAGCCCAGATGGAATTTGTTTCCTTTCTATTAAAAATAAGAGAGGTTCAACTGTAACACAGTGGAACAGTAAACATCCAGGCAGGATAAATCCCTGTGTGTCGGAATGCCAGAAATGGGGCAGTCTCACAGAGAAATGGTTTTGGCTCGTATGCCTGGCCTGGGAGCCTCACCAGGGGACAAAACAAGCAGATGCACCCAAGACCTGCCTGTAAGCTTGGGAGTGCTGCCTTCAGCACCTTTGAAATCCCTGCCACATTACCCAAACAGGTTACTGCTCCTCTTGGCTCTTCTGCTGCCTTACCTCTGCTCTCCAGAACCACTGGGAGCAATCCCAGGCATACCTCTGATAACCACACCTAACAACCAGTTGCACTTTTATCCCAACTGCTTCCCTGCAGAGCATCTCTCCCTGTGTGCAGGACAGCAACTCCAAAAGGAAGGCAGAAAACCTGATGGAGTGACAGGAGATACTTACAGTTGTGGGAAAGTAGCGACTGGTCTTGAATTTCTTCAGGGCCATGGAGCAGGTGTAAGTGCCAAAGAAGAGGATGAAAGACATGAGGGTGATGTCAGGGACATAGTCACAGTTGTTGCCCACAAGCTGACCCCCATACTTCAAGCAGTCCTTGGCTGTCAGAGCTGCCCAGTCAATGGTGGTGTTGGCCTGCAAGAGAAAAGGGAACGTTTCCATAAGGCTGTGTATGCTCAGCTCATGGTGGGACAGGAATGGTGACAGAGCATCTGAGAGGAACAGGGAGGCATCATGCAGAAGCTAAAAATCATGGAAGCACAGAACTCCTCACTATCCAGAGCTTGCCAGCAGAGTGGCACCACAAGACTTCAGTCCATGTGATCCCTGCCTTCCCAAGGGGAACTCACCAGCTCAGAGGAGGGAGAGACCAGCTCATAGTCTGACAGCACCATTGTTCTGTTAAGTAATGAGCTATTAACTGCAAGAGAAAAGAAAAAAGGCAATATGGTGATCAGGATGCAGGAAACAGATAAGAAGGAGAGCCAATTCCAATTATTAAATAATTTCTTGACTCTGTCAAGCTGTTTGCCACATCTTTGCTCCAGAAAAGTGAGTCACAAGTGTTTCAGAGAGACTCAAAAGCCTCAATCATCAATCACTCACAAAACAGAAAAAGAAAAGGTTGAGTGAAACATAACCCAAACGGGATTATATTTTGAGTTGATGGTAAAAAAAAAAACACAAAAAACCAGACAGACAATATAATATTTCATAGCTTTCCAATATTTTCCTAATGATTTCTGGATTAAATTAAATACACACAGAGTGCTCCTAATGATTAATTTCAAATGCAAGCACAACGTTAAAGATACTCAGAAAAGCAAAATGTGATTCAGTGTCCAGCATAAACACAGTTTTGAATTAAAAGCAAGAAAAAAGAGAGCAAGAAATTGAAATCAACAGGATGGGGATAATTTCTTTGAAAGAAGGAGCAGCATTCTCTGTGGCTTCTGAAGCATTAGGAATAATGAATTTGAAATTTCATTTAGAAATGGAATCCTTCCTGCAAATGGGCTCGTGGCCCCTGTCCTCATGGCTTACTGAGGTTTTGCATAAATAAACTTTTTTCACTTGAATGTCTGGAGAGCCACAAGTGTTTCAATGGGAAGTGGAGACTTCCAGTTTGGCATTGACCATTCCCATCGTCCTAATTTCAAAAAGGAAATCACTCTGCCATTCCAGTGGAGAATCAATGTGCTCACCAAGGTCCTGCGTTTAACAGGAAAGGCAGGCACACAGCACCAGGGAACCAGCTCCCGACACCTGCAAGGAGCAGCCAGCAGCTTTTCCTGTTGGACAGGTGTGCTGAGATAATCTGCAGTTTACTCTGGGCACAGATCAAGTTTCTTACTCACTCCCCATTGTTTGTGGGATCCTAGGAGTGGTCCCTGCTTCCCTAATAGTACAGCCAGTGTCTCTTAGTTTGGATTTGGGTTTTGTAACCCTTTGTTCCCAGAGCCATAGGTACACTGGCTCTATCTGCTGCGCAGCCCACGCCCCAGAGATAGGCTGCCCTGGGGATACACTTCCCTTCTTGGAAAGGAAGGAATTGTTTGTGCTTTCCCTCTCATCCATGCAGCCAGGAGGTGGGAACCACCCACGTCTGGGTAACGCCTTGAATAAATCCAGCTCCTGAAACAGGAGTGGCCTGAGCTCCATGGCAGTGACCTCAGCTGCACAGCAGTGACCTGGCCACTACTGCTGCCCCTTCATGGAATTCTCAGAGGAATGCCATTTGGAACAAGGATGCAAGGAGACTCGGGTACAGAAACAGGCTTCTCCACAGGTCATGATGCTCTCTGGAGGAGTTCTACTAAGGCCAGCTGTACTGTGACATGTAGGTACAGAAGAAGGGTCCCAGGAAGGGACCTTGCCCCTGAGAAGTCACAGTTGTTCTAATTACCAAAGAAGAGGAACAGCCTTGCCCTTAACAGGTCACAGCTGTGACTACTAAAGATAAGTGTGATAAAAGGGGTGAGTTGGCTGGTCAGGGCGGACCTTGAGGAGGAAGACCCCCGAGGAAGAAGGAACAACCCTGAGAACTAGAGGATGGACAAAATAAGAAAGAAAGCTGCTGCTGTAAAAGATCTGTGGTGAGGTTAGCGTGGGGCCTGCAGCTAGAGCCTGCTGCTGGAGTCTGCAAACTAATACATGCAGTCATAGTTGAGCAGGAAATAGCTGCAGTCAGAGTCTGCCAGGGAAGCCAACAGTAGGAGCTTGCTGTAGTCAGTCAGGATGGCTCAGATGCAGAGAAGAATAAACTGGGACCCTTTTCATATTGTTGAATAAGAGTCTGTGTCTTGACTCATTTCTACCCCTAACGAGAGCTCTGCTGCAACACTGACATTCCACTTGGGATGAAATTTACCTCTCAGCTTCCTGAGACTAAGACAGGATATCTGAAGGCAACTGATAAAGAAGGAATAATCTACCTATTATCTGGGCTGCAGCAGAAGGGAAAAGGAGAGCAAAGGCCACCTCCTATCTACAAACTGCAAAGGTAATGAACACTCCCTTACCTGGATCTAGTGGTTTACAGGCACAAGAGTAATGAGTGATATAGTCCACCTTGAACTCGGAGTTGATGGGATAATGATCTGCCAGCTTGATCATCTTCTTGAAAGCATCATAAATGAAGATGAAGCTGATCAGGGAGGAAAATCCTTCTTCGGTGAAGCGGGTGAAGTACTTGACCAGGAAGCTGGCGTCGGTGGCCACGAGAATGAGACACTGGAAGGCTGACCAGAGGCCGATCCAGAGGCGGAACTCCAGGTAGTCAAAATCATTGTCCCTGCAACAAGACAAGGGTGGCAAGAAAGGAAAACATTGGGTTAGATAAGATCAGGAAATAAAAAGCAGATGTTATATGGAATGAGGCTGAGTTAGGGGAAGTTGAATCACAGAATCACAAGATTGGAAGAGACCTTCAAGATCGAGTCCAATCCAGCCCAAACACCTCAGCTAGGCAATGGTACCAAGTGCCACATCCAATCTTTTTTTAAACACATCCAGGGATGGTGACTCCACCACCTCCCTGGGCAGACCATTCCAGAACTTCATGACCCCTTCTGTGAAAAACTTCTTCCCAATATCCAACCTATATTTCCCTTGGTGCAGCTTTGATTGTGTCCTCTTGTTCTGTCGGTTGTTTCCTGGAGAAAGAGACTGACTCCCACCTGACTGCAACTACCTTTCAAGGAGTTGTACAGAGTGTAAGGTCACTCCTGAGTCTCCTTTTCTCCAGGCTAAACAACCACAGCTCCCTCAGTTGTTCCTCACAGGGCTTGTGTTCCAAGCCCTCACCAGCCTTGTTGCCCTCCTCTGGATGAGCTCAAGGGTCTCAATGTCTTTCCCAAACTGAGGGGCCAGACCTGGACACAGCCCTTGAGGTGCGGCCTTACCAGTGCTGAGTATGGGGAAGAATGAGTTCCCTGCTCCTGCTGGCCACCCTGTTCCTGATCCAGGCCAGAAGCCATTGGCCTTCTTGGCCACCAGTGCACACTGCTGGCTCGTGTTCAGCCAGCTGTCAACCAGTGCCCCCAGATCCCTCTCTGCCTGGGCACTGACCAGCCACACCATCCCCAGCCTATAAAACTGCAGGAGGATATTGTGGCCAAAATGCAGGACTGGGCACTTGGACTTGTTAAACTTCATCTTATTGGACTCTGCCCATCCATCCAACCATTCCAGGTCTCTCTGCAGAGCCCTCCTACCTTCCAACAGATCGACTGAGACTGGACATAAAGGAAAGATCTTCTCCCAGAGGGTGGTTGGACACCGGAACATATTAGTCTAGTCTCACCAGGGAAGCAGTCATGGCACCTAACCTGATGGAGTTCAAGGAGCATCTGGACAGTGCTTTTAGTCATATGGTTTAGTTTTACGTAGTCTTGCCAGAGAGAGTTGGACTTGCTGATCCTTATAGGTCCTTTCCAAACTGGGAATATTCTATGACAAACCCTGGTGTTGGGAATGGCAGGGGATGGAGAACCATGCACCCAGCTGCATCATTTCCTTCTGGGAATGATGGCCTCCCTTGTTTACTGCTTGAGGCTGAGGTGCTGTGCCAACACAGAGTCCAAAGGTGGGCTTTTAGGAATGAAAAAGTGCCTAAAGGGAACACTTTAGGGAACACTTTAGCAGAGGAGGACCTGCCAGGAAGGCCACTGCCTGTTCTGTGGAAGGACACAAGAGCTGGTGGGACTGGCAGGCTCAGCCAGCTGTAACTCTCTGAAGTCAGAAGCCCTGACCTGGAAGAGGGCAAGAAGCAAGTAAGAAACAAAGTGATTTAGAAAAAAGAGAAGGGAAAAAATAAAAACACAAGACCTGAGTGACAATTCTGAAATATCCGGAGTCAGTGCCTGAGGGGACAGGAGGTCCCATCCATCTGAAGGCAGCTGGCAGAAACCCAGGTACACTGACTCCACACCACTGAAGAACTTCAAAAATGTCAAACTGTATTATTTTGGCTTTTACTCCTCAAATTCCTGCAGTGCTTTTGAAGCTGAAAGAGCAGGTGGAAAAGCACTGTGTCCTGCAGGATTGGCCCCCGGTGCCAGCACCACGGAGCACCTGAGGCCAGAGGCACAGCTGGGTCTGCAAGGCGTTCTCAGGGATCTTTTCAGACACACACACTTGAAATGAGGCAGGAGATGGAAGTTTTCTACTTTTGTTTTTAGCAGGGAACAGTGTGTTGTGAAAATGAACAACCACAAATTCATTACTGAAAAATCCAAGTACTGAGTTCCAATTTCCTTGTAAGAAAGGTCTCCTTTGAAAAGTCCTGCCTTTCTGCTCTGGCAGGTTGTTAGGACAATGGCTTTTACAACAACCACCTCCTCCTCAGGTTAAAAATAACCACCTTCTCCCTCCCAAATCAGTACAAAGTGCTTTTCCATCTTGCTTTTTTCCTGCTGCGTGCTGCACCTGGGCTTTGTCATGCTTGAAAGATGCCAACAGGTGCAGCGTGTCCAATCCTGACTCTAGTCATTGGCTCCAGATGAAGGAAGAAAAGAAAGAAAAGAAAGTTTCCCCCCCTCTTGCTCCACTGTGCAACTCTCACCCTCTGGTAGCTTCCAGTTCCCTCCCTGGGATTAGCTAACTTTCCAGCCATTTTTTTCTAGCTCCCATCCCTCCCTACATGTAGGAACACAAATCCTGCACAACCTGCCATGTTGAGAACACAGACACAAGGGATTTGGGGTGTATTCTGTGTAACCTAAAACAATCTCCTTGCAAAACACCAGCCAAAGGGTCACTAGCCCCATGGGTGAAATCATCCATTACACTGCTGATTCCTTTGGGGATTCCACTGTATCTTCACTGTATTGCAGATGTGGGAATGGTAAATGAGCACACCTAACAAAATGGGCTCCCTTTAGTTCTGGGTGTCAGCTGTCAACAATGTGGAGGGAGCAGAATTTCTTCATACCAGTTATATGGAAAACAGTGCAGGAAATTTCCTTTAAATGTAGGAAAGCTCCCCCGTGGAATTCTGGGGGCTGTTTCTACCACAGACACTTTTGCTTTCACAAATAATAGTGGTTATTTCAAATGACTACTGGACATATTCCTGGCAACCTTGAGACCCATGGGATTCATTTCTTTGCTCCTATGGGAGTCAGAGAAGCTGTGATTGGGAGAAGCAGCACACTGCAACTAGAGCAAATTCCTCATGGGGGACTGAAGTGGCCAAGGTTGGATTTTTTTTCAGAAGGCCCCACAGAGACAGGCAGCCACACACTGGGCAGCGCCCTGGGACATGCGTGCTGGGAAAATCCCTGATGTGATTGCACTGGATCTCAACAAGGAATGAGAGGTTTCATTTTGTGCACTAAATCCCCTCCTTCCCCCGCAGCAGGCAGCTCATTCCCTGGCTGGGCTTTCCTTCGTGTGGGACATTCCTGCCCTCTGCCCTCTCCTGCCACATACTCACTTGCTGAAATTGAAGAGGAGCCGCTCAAAGACCAGGACGGGTCCTGTGCTGCTCAGAATGGTGAGGGGCTGACCAGCCAAAAGGCAAAATACAGCACCGGTGACAGCGGTGCCCAGGAAGCTCTCCAACACGCCCTGCGGAGACACAGGAGAGGAGTCACCCTTTCTAAAGGAATGCATCTCTTGTGACCGTGTGCTGCATGTCCCCATGCCCGTGAGCAAGAGGACAGCATCCTCTGCCTCCCCTGCCACTCACACCACCATGCTGGTCCCACACAAGCCAGAGTTACTTGGGATAACCACATGTGCTGAGCAGCCGGTGATTAATGGCACAGGCTGATCCTCCCTTCCACCCAGGCTGCAGGGATGGGGCTGCAGCTCTCCTGACTTGTCAGGGGTACTCCAGAAATTGAAATTCAGTTTTGTGTCTCTCCTCCTTGAGGAGACAGGAGTTAGTGTTTACACCGAGGAAAGCAATAGGCTGGCTGCCTACGGGGGACTTGTAAGGATGAGCCAAATAATCCCAGGGCAAGGAACAGCCTGCACACAGCTGATCCCCTCCACTCCTCTTGTGTTACCCATGGAGAGGGCACTCATGGCCAGAGCATCTGGAATCTCTTTTCCCTCCATTCTTCCACACGTCTGTAGCTAAGAATAGTGTATTTTCTTGGAAATGGAGAACTCAGGAGTGAGCTGTGAAGGCAGTGATGGCTGGGGCAGCTCCTGGGACAGGGAGCAGGATGGGCCATGCTCAGTGCCTGCCCCAGCAGCAGCCACATCACTGTTTACAACAAACAAGACACAGACACACAAACTGTGATGTAGTAGCCCCAAAAATACTGCTGTCTCAGGTTTTTTTTGCTACTTGATAATAAGTATTCTTGAGATTTCTGGCCACAATGAAGGGATTCTCAATTTGAACCAGGTAACATTTCCCCTTCCTCCTGTAATTTAAAGAGTGCACCTTGTGCAGAGCATGCAGGCTTTGCTCTGCTACCCCATGACAGTCCAGTGTTGCTACTGGTGGAACCTGGAGGCCCCTCCCTTCCTGACTTCCATGAGTTTCAGAAAAAGAAAACTGTTTGTACAGGAGGGAGGGGAGCTGGGGAGCTGGGCACTGCACAGGCAGCTGGATCTTACTCCAGCCTGTAATTCATCACAGGGGAGTGCAGGGTTCCAGATATGTGCCCTCATTTCCTATGTTTGACTTAATTAAACCTGCATAAATTAATAACTCAGTCATTATCATTATGAGCTTGATTATTGCTAGGAGATTTGCCTGAACTGGACTGGCTGAACTGAATATATCTAAATACAACCTCCTACTTTTCCTATTAGTCCACTAACACAAAGAACCTACAGCACTGTCAATAGAGAATCCCGTCTCTTTAGCTTGAGCTAAGCCATTGATCCAGCCTGTCTGTGGATACATGGCCAGCTGTCTCACGTGCCCTCCCACTACTCCAAAACTCATCTTTCTAAAGACCTAACATTTCTCTTCTGTGTTACTCATTTTCCTAATTATTTTGGGATTTTCTTTTTATCAGAGAGGCCAAAGCCCAGGTATTGTAGCAATCAGGCAGAGTAGTCAGACTTAGCAAACTGAATTGGACTAAAACGGTACAACTGAGAGCAGATCAGAGGAACTTCTCTCTACAGAAGGAGCAAGGACCATCTCTGTCTCTTGGGCCTGCTTTTATTCACCATTTAAAGAGCTGCTGTACTAGTTGTCAAAGGACAGCCAAAGCAGCAGAGAAAGCAGTGAAAACACAGAACACCTCCATTATTGTACCAAGAATTCCAGCTTTGCCAGTGCCCAAACATTGCCCTGACTGGACAGCAGAAGGCAAATGGTGGATTTGCTGGTTCTGAAAGCTCTTGCCCACCTGCATGTTCTCCGTAGCATCCCCAAGCAATCCCCCAAAAGTGATGGCATTGGTGACTGTGGCCAGGTAGATGAAGAGGATGGCTGAGAGGGCCTGGATGTTTAAAGCATCGTAGAAGTCGCTGGCAAAGAACGGTGCTTTCCTCTTGATGTCTTTGATCAAACCCCCACAGAATCTGCAGGGACAAGCAAGAGGAGACTCGTGCAAGATGTTTCACAGTGGAACTCACCATGCTAAGCCATCAGAGACACTGCCAGCAAAGAAGTATTATGCCAAAGGAGTGAGATCACCACATTAAAAACAGTCTTATCACAGCTGTGGCGGGCCAGGGATCCCAGAGAGAATGTTGTAAGGAAAGATAGTATCTCAAACATGTGATGTATCTGGAAACTGCAGGACTACAAGCCATGCTTCTGCTGAAACAGACCACCACAGTTTTTATTTCAGGAAGCTCATCTGTTGGCTTTTTTCCCCCAAATATATTAGTTGATGTAATAAAATAGATGAACTCTGGTCTAAGTCCCTCCCTGAACTTCTCCACATAGCAGACACCATGCCTGGGCGAGCCAAACAATCTACTGCATGGAAAAATACTTCAAATTAATAACCAGCAAAATAACTAGAAGTAAAAACACAAGGGAAATACTCTTGGACAACAAAAGAACTACTCGCAGACATCCCTTTTTGTATGATCACAGACAAGACGGTACTTAAGTCTTAAAAACTCCACATGGCACTGACACTGCCAGCATGAAAAATGCTTGTTGAACCTACTCCCCTGCTTGTTCCTCTGCTCACAGCTCCCCACCTCTGCTGGGACTGCACACACTGTGGCAGACAGGCACACACCACCTTCTGACCCCAGATCAGGACCTCCACTACCTTGTACACACCAATGCAGTGTGAAGACTTTCAGCCTTTTCTCCTAGAATTTAGACTAGAACTGGAATTGAAAAAGAAGATTCAGAGTGAAGGGAGGGCACAAAGCCACCATGAAGCCCTGTGCACTGATCTTGAAATGCTGAGCTTGCCGTTTTGTGGCCACCTGATCTGTATTCCCACTCCAGTGGACTTTTACATGGCATAAAGCAGAGTAATAAAGCAGAGAGTAGGGCCTGGGGCACTGTTACCTTCTCTATTTCTATCCCATAAAAGCCTTCAGCTGTGCAATCCAACTGCAACACTAATGTCCAGAAAAGGGAACATCTCTGCTTTGGCTAAGGCACCCCTTCAGCAATCCAAACAGATTAACTGAGGCTTGGACCTGCCATGTTTATGTCCCCTGCAGTTCATCTGACTTTACAGGCTCCCAAAAGGCAGCACCCACCTGGGCCTTCTGTCCTTTGTAATGGCTCTTTATCATTTACTGAGCAACTAATTCATGCCCTTCTGTGATTCGCTGAAGCCGCATGTTCTGAACCCTTCAGACAGCCTCACTCTGGGCACAGAAAGCCCCCCAGGACACATTTTGGGGTCACACCACAGCCTATACAGCCAGTCCAACAGGGTGGGAATGTTTTGGCAAGGGAAGCATTGCAGGGGTGTCACCGACCTGCCCGTGCGCTGCAGCTCCTCGCAGTCGCCGTGGCCGCCGCCGCCGTGGCCGCCGTCGTGGGGCGTGTCTCCGTTCATCTGCAGGTTCTCCCCACCCGAGTACATGTTTTTCCTAGGCCAGGACACAGCACGTCACAAGGACCAAGAGGAACCCTAAAGAGCCCAGCTGACTACCAGCTGTGTTATTGTGTGCCTACAACATCACCTCAAAAGGCACAGACTTTCACGAACATCCCCCCTCCACCTACTAAGGAAGGCCTGAAAATATCTCCATGACTTCCTAAATAGTGGTAGCCAACTGCAGGTCACTCCACACACCTGGCACAACCAAAACACCGGCTCTTCCCATCCCCTTTCCACACCTCATGCCCACAGAGCCTCTCTCCTGCTATTACCTCTTATCCGAAGAAGGGAGAGACTTGGGGGGCTCTATCCTAATTGCTGGATCCCATTCCCCAGGGGGGAGCACAATGACTTCATCCAGAAATTCATCGATGCCTGCAATCAGGTCCTGACGGTCCTTGGCTTTATAGGCAATGTCATGGAATACCTGCAAGGAAAAGAGACTCCCCATGGAAAAGGTTTCCATTTTCTGTGGCCCTGACTCCAGAAGCAGCTGCTGAGTTCTACAAAATCAACTTAATTCCTTATCAGAAACCTCTGAAGAAGTATCAGGACATGTGGCACAAGGAGGTGTGATGCTCAGAAAGCCCCTTCCTTTGGCTGGATAACAACAGAAGTTCTTTTCTTTTAGGCATATATCTAATTTTAAGCAAACCATCTATTTCTAAACTTTAAAAATGTTAGTAAAGCAATTATCTATAGTGCAAGAAAGTTTTCCTCTACATAAGGACTTTCAGTTACACTTGGAGAAGATAAGTGTAATAGAAAGACAAAGCCACCTATTTCAGTGTATCAAACCCAGATTAATTTTCAACCCAGTGACACAGAACTGATGGCAACATTCACTCAAAAACATCATAAACTGATTTTAGTGGAAGGCCTAGTGTTAATCATGAAGAACAAATGAGAAAAGGGGCGAGGGGGTAAGCATTAATGCTGAATTTTATAGGAATCTTATGGACTGTGCAGAGAGGAGGTGGATCAATGCATGTGACAGACGAGCTGGTGGCAGGAAGGGACTCTGGGGCTTTGGGAAGCAGACCACTAAGTGACAGAAAGCAGGAGGGCTGGGAGCAACTGAGCTGTAATGAAGGAGAACGAAGCAATGCCAAGAAGCAAAGCTGATGTGAATGAGCCCCAGCACGCAGGGCCCCAGGGACACTGGAAGAAAGGAGCTGTAAATGAATCCTGAAAGCCCAGCCAGGGCAGCAAGGAGGGGCCAGCTGCTCCTGGCTAACACTTAAACACTGCCAGGACACAGTGTCACACACGGCACCATGGCCTGGGGGAAATGGTCCCGTGGGCATCACCTGCATATCCCTGGCTGTCAGATACTGGGATGGTAGAATGGGACACAAGGAATAAATTCAACACGATGGAATAAATTCAACAATTAATTCACAGTTGATATGAAAGAGTGATCTCTAGCAGGAAAATACACACGGCAGACAAACCTCTCCTAGAGTCACGCTTTTAAAAAACACAAAGGCAGAGGCAGTAATTATGTCAACAGATGGAATTAGGAGGGTAACGTGGCTATTTCAGCTTTATGTGAATACTCCTTCCTGTTGATCAGGCTGGAAGGAAGGACATCATGACTTGGGAAAAGCCATTTCCCACTGGAGATGCTAGGACACCCACCTCATCCGACATCAGCGTGGCAATGGCTCGGCCGATCTCATGATAGGACTTGGCTTTGCCCTTTGGTCCCAGCAGAATGAAGAGAAATCTGACAAAACCAAGAGATTGTTCCCATTTAGGATGGCAAAACCAACTGCTTATTACTTATACAACACCTAGACAGAAATCTGACTTTAAAAATGGTGGCCCTTATTAGAGATCTGGAGGCTGCCAGAGGCCTCAAGGTAACTTTGGAGCAGAAGTTACACCCTGTGGCCCACATGCCCTGTGCACCACAAAAGCCTGTCCACCTCCATGGGGATTTGTATCAAGGAATCACAGAACAGTTTGTCTTGGAAAGGATCCTAAAGGCTATCTACACCTTCAACTAGCCAGGTTCCTCTAAGCCCTGTCCATCCTGGCCTTGGACATTTTATTTTTCACATGATCTCTTTGAGCAGCAACTACATCCAAGTCACTGCTGAAGAGTTTAAAAAATACCATGATATGAAACCTTCGGAAGTGCAAACATACAGATGAAATAACCTTACCAGAAGCACCTACCCCCTTCCAAGGGCTGGATTAAATATTATTTTATCTCCTAATTCAAATGATGAAGTACTAAGTTAAATGGCTTATGAGGAGTATTATATCCAAGCAAGTACTTTCTGTTCAAGAGAATCTAGAGTCCTAAAAGAAAAAAGGCAGCAATTTAGTAGGACAGGATCCATAAATACATCCTGATTGGCATTACTATATAACACCTCTTAATCGAGTCCTTCACGAGGTGTTTGAGTGTTTTATTTGAGGTTCACAGGGAGGTGAGTAAGCCACACACACCCAGGTCATGTCCTCTGCTCTCCTCCCACCTCCTGGAACTTTCCCTGCTTTACCAGTTCTTACAAAATAACACTCAAGAAAAAGTGTTCCTCAGCCAACTCTTTCCAAACTCCAGGATGCAAATCAGCCAAACACATTACTATTAAAAAAAAAAAGAGGTTCATAACTTCAGGATTTGCTGCTTGGCATTCTCCTGGTTTTCCAAGAGAACCAGGCACTTCCATAACCCTCTTCTGCAATAACCCCGACCAGCTGGTTCTTTTCCAGCACAGAGCAGCAGCACATGAATGCCCCTGCACTACTAAAACACTCCTGAAAACAAGGAGACTGTGACATTTGCCACATTCTTTGCTCTAATTCAGCTCAGATCTGCCTTCAGTGGGTAGAACAAGATCTTTTCATGGGCCAAACATTACAAACACAAAAACATTAATGCATTTAGTGGCTGTAGCATTAATATGCAGATGGGACTACATTTCTTCATGCAGAAAAGCCCAATCTTAATTGTATAGGTCATATTTGATAGGATTACCAGAAGGCACTGTGTCAGATCTTATTGGTGGATAATATATTTACACTTAGTTTATTGGTTAGGACATGGTATTTTGCATGTCTATCAAACTTCTGTATTCATAGCTAGTTTATTTTTTTTTCTACTGATTTTCATGAGACATATCTTATTGTTTATCCAAGTGCTAGTTGTTTTTCACCTAAGAATAAGTTGTTGTGTTAACAAACCTTTTATACCTAAGGTTGTTTTTGCATGGGAACTTGCAAATTACTTAGCTGCACTTAGAAGAAATGACAGGCTAGCCATAAAATGAACAGAGAAGGCCTGATTTTATGGGTCTTTTCTTTTATAATTCTTCTACCTGTCTACAACAAACCTGAACTAGAGTATATGTGCATAGATTTATAATCATTTAGTTATGAACATTTCCAGCTGCAAAAGCCCTCACTCCTAGCTGCCATACTCCTCTTCCTCTGCTGAAGGCCACTCGATAATTCCTCCCTGCTGCACACAACACATGCTAAGTTATCCAGTGCCCATTTCTGACACTTAACATTGCTAATAATGCTCCAAGGCAGGGAATGTGTGGTTCCACCAAGCTCCCAGTCTCTCAGAAGTAGTAACAAAATCCAATGTTTCTCTCAATGCATTCCTAGAACAGCTAGAACAGGAACTCCATAAGGGTTGAAGGCACCCAAACAAAGGAATCTCAGCCAAGTCCTGGAGGAAAAGTGCCTTTGCAGTGAAAAGCCTCTTTTGGGAGGCCAGGGAGGACCAGACTCCTGGATCTGCCCCTCGCTTCCCAAGTGACCTTGGGCAAGTTACCTCACTTCATTTGAGACCTGCAGACACCGACCTTTCCCAGCTCTGCACACCTGACTGTGCAAGTCTGCACAGTTTATCTCCAAAAAACATCTTCTCCTGGCTCACTCCTCATCTTTCTCCCCATCTGCATTGCATTAAACAGTAGCCTTGAACACAGGATTGTGCATTGCTCTGATGAAAACACAAAGCCATTCCCAAGCCATGTTGCCAGCTCAGGGCTTCCCCAGATGAGGAGTCCCAAGAACTGTGGGATTAAATTTGACACAAGAAAAACAAAGGCCTTAAACGTTTCTTTTCAATCTGACCAGTAAAAAGAAAACTCAGGAAAGGCTGGGATATCTCTATTCCAACTGCATATCCCTGATTTTTCTCTTACTAACCCCTGTGCTCTGGAGCCAGGGTGGGAGAGCTGGCAGTAAGCAGCCTGGAGAAGAGAAGGCTCCAAGGAGACCTCAGAGCCCCTTCCAGTGCCTAAAAGGGTAAAAGGAGAGCTGGAGAGGGACTTGGGACAAGCACCTGCAGTGACAGGACAAGGGGGAATGGCTTCCCACTGACACAGGGCAGGGTTACACTGGATATTAGGAGGAAATTCTTCCCTGTGATGGTGGTGGTGGCCCAGGTTGCCCAGAGAGGCTTTGGCTGCCCCATCCCTAGAAGTATTCAAGGATAGGCTGATGGGGCCTGGAGCACCCTGGGATAGTGGAAGGTGTCCCTGCCTGTGGCAGGGGACTGGAATGGGATGGGCTTTGAGTTCCCTTCCCTTCCAACCCAAACCATTCCCTGCTTCTCTATCTGCAGTTGCTTAAGAGCAGAAAAAGTTCACTTAACACTGACACCCCAGACAGAGGGGCTGGACTAGCCCTGAGCCAAAACCTGCCTGTTTAACCCCCTCCTGCCCTACATAAAACCAGTGAGAGAGGCACTCAGGTCACACTGATGTGGAGACCTGGCCCACATCAGTCCTGCAGCCCACAGCACCCCAACGTCGGCTCCCGCGGCGTTGGAAACCCTGGGGGCTGTGCGGGGCCCAGCTGGGCCCGTGTGGCACCCGCAGTTTTACCAGGGAATCAACACCTGAACCAAATAAAAGGAGAGGCCTCAGAGGACAGAAGGCTGGGCATGCCAGAGGCTCTAGCATCCTGCAGTCTGCAGGCTTTAAGTGCAGGTCCATGGCAGGAATGCCGTCGGCACCGGAGATGTTCCATCACAGCTCCTCCTGGCCCTGAGGGGATTTCCTTGATTGAATTTCATAGGATGCAGCCATGGCAAATGGCTCTTCATCACTCATGAAAGCCACCTAATGAGCCTTCCTGCTTTGATTAGGGCTAGTATTTGCTTTGGAGAACAGCAAATGGATAATACTATTTCCTGGGAAAAGCACTGGCATGGAAGGACATACTGCCTTGATTATTGCTACTGAGTAATGAGGCTGTCCAGCAATCCTGGATCTAACTTCCTGGCTCCCACCACCACAGCAAACAATACCTCATCTTACAACTGCTGAAAAGAACTTGGAGATATGTTTAAAAAATAGTCAGTGGGACTAGAGTTGGAAGCTGAAGCACTGAAGCACACAGAGGCCAGGAAAGTTGAGGAATGAATAACCTGCTACAGAACAAAGGCACATCTGGGTCCCCACACTCCTACCTGAATACTCAGCGCGTGCAGACAGCTGTGGATGGGGCTGTAAGAAAACACTTGATGAAACTCCAAGCAACAGAAACACTCCTGCTACCACTAAAGAGCAAAGCTAGAGGTGCAGCAAAAGCTGCTCTTTTCCCTTTGGTACACAGAAAGAGGCAAGGATTCCAACAGCCATCTAACTTCCACTCCATACAAGGGCTGTGATACTGCTATGAATTCACATAGGACAGCTTAGACAGGCAGGCATACTCAAGCAGTGACTTCAAATATTTAAGAACACAAGATATATTGCTATTTGTGAGACTAAGATTAATTTGCAACATGAGTCATAATAAATAAAATATTTCTCTGACATCTTTCCTTGAGCCATTATGCATTACAAAGCAACAAGCCCCAGTAGAATTGTATGTCCAAGGTTTTTTTTGCCCCAGGAGGGCCACAATGGAGTTTTCCACTTGATCTGAGCTGAAGAGGAATAATATGTACAGCAAAAATGTACAGAGGGAAATCTGGGATCTGTACAGAAGGGGCAGGAAAAAAGCCCCAGGACTTAAAATTCAACACTGACAGTGCCCTTTACTGCTGAGTTGTTAAGTCAGTGTGTTTGTGTAATGGTTTACTTATAACCAAACTCAGGACATGAATATGATGAAGCAGCTTCAGTGAGTTTCCTTACTTTACACCACAATCCTGACGGTTCTGCATGTCACGGCATGGAAGGCAGCGGAGAACATCTTCGGGCCCCTTTTTTTTTTTACTTTCCCAGGTGGAAATGCAGGTTCCCTGTGTGGTGCCCTGCCTGGGGCTGGTTTCCTTACCGTGTGGGAACAGGGACCTCGGTGAGAGCTCCCAGCATGACCGCCTGCTGCAGCCGCACGAAGGCAATGAAGGGGCTCTCCAGGAAATCCACCTCCCCGACCAGCACGTTGGAGGCCTCAGCGTCACGAGGCAATTTCTTCATGAATTTATTCTTCAGCTGCAGCGGTGGAAGAGGAAGGAAAAGAAAATTAAATTGCACTGGGCACGTTCTTCTCACCTCTGTGCAGTAACTGTGCATGCTCATGGACCCTGCAGTGTGCACCCTCGGCCTGGATCCAGCCATGGAGAAATGTCACCACCAGGGAATGGGAAAACACCGCAGCAGCAGCCACTGCGTTCTAAAACTCAGCCTCTGCGAGACGCCTTTGTTCCAACTTCAGCAGCGGCAGAATTAATTTGGAATTGAAGGCTTTTGAAAACCCTGCCCTCAGCTGGTTCCCAATCTGCCCCCTCTCCCTGGGTGATCTCTGGAGATGCTCTGTGTGTGTCTGGCAAAGGGTGAATGGAGAGGGAGGATGTACTGCCAGGAGCACCAGCGAGAGGGGGGCACTGAACTGGGCTATGAATCCTTAATGACCTTCATGAGGTGACTGAAGGAAGGAGAAAAATTGAAAAAGTCTCAAGAAAATACATGAATTGACTGAACAGGAAGAAAACTGCTGGAACTATCCTACCCCTGCATGCTTAAATCAGGATCACCACCAGAAGAAACAGTAAATAAGCATCAAGGAGCACTGTGAAGGAAGTCTGGAAAAGCCCTACCAGTTCTTCCACAGACAGTGTTTGGGAGCATGGTGGTGGTATAATAATAATGTGAAGATGGCAAATCGACAACAAACACTTTATTTACCTCACCAGGCTGGCTGTGTGGCTGAACAAAGATAATTTGGCAACACCAGGGCTGGTTTGGATTTGGACACCTGGCCCAAACCCAGGTGATTCTCTGAGCCAGAACTCACCTACAGGGTTTCCTGTGGCCACCCCGCTCCTGAGGCCGAAGGCTCCAGCCCCCTCCCCGTGCCCAGCACAGCAAACCACCACCAGGAATTTTGAAGAAATGCCATTATAGTGGGTTTCTTTAATCTCCAAATGAGTTTTGCAGCACCACTCACCACTTTCTTAAATAATTTATCAGACAGGTAATGAGTGCAGTCAGCACTTAAAATCCATTCTGAACCATTCCCCAAAGAAGCTTTGGAAAGATCTGACTCCATAGCAGCATCCAGGAACAAGGGAGGGATGAGGGAACTTCACTTTCCCCTGCCAAATTGATCATTCCACCCCAACCACTAATGTTATGTTAAAAGCCACAGGTCTCCAGCACTGTACTTGCAAAAAGGCACAGCAACCTCAGAATCCCAATTTCCTTAAATATACTGTAGCACTCAGATCATCAACACCACTCTGGATCGACTGGAAATGAAAGCAGCTCCTAAGTACACACTCCAAAGTAGCACTTATGGAAGGTTAATTGCCCTGGAACTTGAACCTGTCTCTGTCTCTCTGTTTTTCTGTATCTCTCACACATAGGTTTAAGATCACCTGATCACCTTCCCACAGCTTATCCCTTGAACACCTGCCTCCAGGGGCACCTTCCAGGCTCCAGGCTGCTCCATCACCCAAGGACGCTTTAGAGGGCCACTGTGGATATGGGGAGAAACCAGGCAAGCAAAACTGCCCTCTGCATCAAGAAAAACAGCAAAAGTGAAGAAAATTCTGGTTAACTAAACTTTCTAGAAGCTTTTCCTTTCCTCCAGAAGGGTGGCATTGATTATATTGGAAGAGTCATTTTCACTGGAGCTCCGTGGAGCGAAATACGTCACCCAGGCTGACAGACCTCAGAATTGGGAATGTCTGCTTGCAAGTGTGGAGATGAGATGTTCCAACAGGAAAAGCAGCAATCACTCCCACAATCAATCACAGGACTGCATTCCCAGGAATGGGATCCAGTCAGCGCCTCCCTGTCCATGGGTCCCCAGGAAAGGCAGGAGGGCTTCTCTAAACAAGGCCAATTTCTATTTTAACTTCAGTGCTGGCTTTGGCACAGATCCCCTGTTGACATGGAAACACTGGGTTGAATACACAGTGTCTACACCACAACAAATAAGAAGGGTTTTGTGCCTCCCTCTGACTGACTGTATTCATTCAGAGCCAGGCTCGTCCCACATCCAAGCCCTCTGGAAACACAGATAACACCAGGTCAGGAAACTCCCCTTATACCAACATACATTCCCTTTCTTTATGCTGCTGCATCAGTTCAGGAATAGCAGATCCCTGGGAAAACAGATTTTCTTTCATGTCCCCTTTATTTTACATGTTGAGCAGTGAGGGAGCCCTGGTGCTTCAGCCCCTTGGAGCTGCCAAGGACATTCTAACAGAGCACAGCCAAAGGATTTCTTGCAGGAAGTGGACTGGAGTGGGAACAGCAGTAGGAACTTCTCCAGCTTCCTATGGTCTGCTGGCACTATGGCACCAAAGGGGCTGAGAAAGAATCTACCTGACTCTTTTCAGTCGCTTTCCTTCACACATAAGCTGGAAAAAAGAATTTAAAATATTTTTTAGATATTAAGATGTGGCTGCCCCATCCGTGGAAGTGTCCAAGGCCAGGCTGAACAGGAGCTGGAGAGGCCTGGTCTAGTGGAAGGTGGCCCTGCCCGTGGCAGGGGGTGGAATAGGATTATATTTAAGATCCCAATCCATTCTGAGATTCTGGGGTTCTATGAATATGGTGCTAGTGAAAAATTTGATCCAACAACTTGATGTTCAGGAGCTGGAGGAATTCTTCAGCTGTGAGAGGCCCTAGTTTTACAGACATAGCTACAGTACCACTGGTGTATCTGGCAACAGAGAGCTGGGAGCCCAGGAGAGGGCAGGAAGTCTAGATGCTCATTTACTAACTGCTATACAGAAAAGAAGAATAAATTGTCCCAAAATGCCATTGCTTGTCTCTCCTGCAAATGCCTAGGGTATTAACTGCAGCCAACACTCCTCAAATACAACAAATGAAGGCAAATCCTTTCTCTGCGCTGCTACCTCAGGAGCCGTGCTCTGCCAAAGCAGACACAATGACAGGGAATACACCTCCTCTTCCCTAATTACCTTTATAAGTCCAAAGCAGACAACAAGCAAGTCCAAAGTAGAGAACATGACAAACGAGCAAGCCCCAAATGTGTAGGCCCTTAGTGAAGCTGTTTCTCATCAGAGCAGTTTGAGTCGGGGCCCCAGCAGCCTCTGCAGGATCCTGAGCCATCCTCTTTGCAATCCCAGTGGATCCAGCCACCATTCCCATGGCAGAGAGAGCTGGCTGATGCCAACTGCCTGATTCAGCAATCATAAGTAACACCCCTGAGCCAGGCAGAGCTGTCTGGGTGCCTGGCAAGTAGGGATGAATCCAGGAGGATTCTCTGACAGATCACATCTCTGACATGCATGTGAAACCTGAACCTTACAACACCCAGAGAAAAGGAGAAGGAATGCTGCAGATTAAAGGAGTATGCTGGCTATGAATTCCCTAGGTGATTAGCTGCACCATTCCAAACAGCACTAAATGTTGCAGAACTGAATATTAAGGATGTAGGAAGACAGGAAAATCACTGAAGGTACAAAGTCAAAGCCTTTTTTCCTCTGAAACATGGGCATGCAATCCTCTACCTGTGTAAAACCAGGGGCTGATTAAGGATGCAGGAAGGCAGTCCTGCTCACACAGCTGCTATAAACTGATCTCACCCCTCACAGTTCTTACACAAATAAATAAAGATGGGGATGTTCTGTGTCTCCAGCAGACTCCCCCCTGCCTCCATGGCCTCACTAACTGTCCTGCTTCCAGATGGGATGCCCAAATAACAACAGCCAGTCTCCCTGCTGCCAAGGCAAGTGAACCTGCTCCCTTTGCAGCTCGTGTTGTGGGAACATGATAGATTATTGCTGTGCCTCCTACATGGCACATTGAGTTCTGCTCAAGGAAGCTGCCAGGTACCACCGCAATGCCACAAATTCAATCAAGGCAGGACTTTGAGTCGATCAACCATGAAAACTGAGCTCTAAGGTGATGTCTCAAAGTGCAGGAGGACAAGGCTCCCACTTTGTGCAAAGTTCATCAGCAGGACGTGGGCAAATTAACTGAGAGGATGTTTGGAACTCTACACTTAGCAAGAAAAAGTTCTCACTACCAAGAGCCAGTCATTATGTACACTGGAAGTTAAGAACTTTGGAGCCAGCTCCCAGCTGCATCTATTAACAGATTTCCCTCTCTAGTGCTACTAAAACATCTATTTTTATACCCAATTCTCCACAAAAGTCCATTATCTGAATTTCCAGAGACAGGAGGGGCAGTGGAGACTGTCTGCACTGCTGAAAGCTGCAAAACTGCAGCAACGCTCAGCCCCAGCTTTGGGCTGGTCTAGCTTTAAAACCCCAATTACATGGGATTAAAAATATAACACAGCAGTTTGTCCAATGACAAAAAGCTATTTAACAATCTCCCTTCTTCCCCAGATGTGGCTGCGTGTACTAAGGGAAACAGGTATTTTGGCAACACAAACAATACAGGTGATACTACAACACTGCATGACACTGAGGTCAGTGCAAAACACGCTGTTCCCCTTCCCTTTCCATGGAAATGTATTTCTTAAGGCAAATATAAATTTCTTTTTAAAATATTTCATTAGTCTGAGCTCACTATTCTACCTCAATTATCTTGCTGTGTCCCTTTCAGGACACACTTACAAAGACTGTGACCAGCCATTGTTGAAGGACAGAAGTCATCCCCAACTGGCCAGCAGCGCTGTGCTACCCAAACAATTTCCCAAAGTGACTCTCATTTGAATTCAGAATCACCATGGGACTAGGGAATGCTGGAAGATGCAGACAAAAAAAGAGATTCTCCGAAAGAAACAGCCGGGCTTTGAGAGTAACCCACTTTTTGAACCCAGACAAAGGTTTTTTGAAACTTGCACAGAGACCTCATTCAGCCACCAGTTTTTCTAAGAGTTGGAATAAACTTACTCTTACCCCCTCAGAACCGGCAGCCTTCAGAAAGGACGGAAACAGACACAAAGCCAGCCCGTATGCCACACCACAAATATTACCCTAGTCTAAGAAAGAGGTCAAGTCCATGAAGATTTGTCACCAATTTTATTTGGTGACAAATAAATTTGGTGACAAAATTGGAGGCCAATTTTAACTCAATGACTGACTGCATTTTGGAGCTGCTCTCCCACATTACCTGACAGCACAGCCACCTTCCTGTGGTTCCTGTGGAACCTTTGTTCCACCAGCTGCTGCAGCAGGGATGCATTTCCCTGAGTGCTCCTGCTCTACCCCATAGTTCCTGTGAACATTCAGCCCAGGGTGCTCCTCTGAGGACCCTTGTGACCCCTCAGCACAAAGAGGATCCAAAATCCATCACACATGGGGTATTTTCCCTCCTTTCTCACAGGGAACAGCAAGATGCCATCTATGTGGTGTCACTTGCTTCAGACCTTGTAAGAGACAAACCTGCCATTTCCAAGGGTTGGTACTTAAAGAGTGGAGGAACCAGTCACAGGACTCAAAAATACTCACTCCTCTTTGTTTTCAAAGCTAAGGTCCAGAGGAGCCCTTTCCCCAACATGCAGCTCCTCTCCAAACACATCCCCGAGAGAAGCCTGGAGCTTACCTGGTCCTTCTCAGGCTTGTCCGAGATGTCATTGAGGCTGGTGGAAGTCAGGTTTCGGTGAGCCATGGCTGGGCTGCCTGGAAGAACAACGTCAACACCAGTTAAAGCACCTGCTTGGATCCAGTCAGAACACAGAGGCTCAGGCTACAGCAACTCCCTTCCCTGATGGGGAATTCCAGGCCCTGACAAGCTGCTTTCTGTCACTCCATGTGGCACAGGGGGGATTTAAGATGCTAACGCTTCGTCACCTCTGACCCATAGCAGTCCAGTAACTCCCAGGACAGCAAAAGAGTCCAAGAACTCTCCATAACTCCTGCCTGTGGGAGAAAAGCAACACAGAACCTGCTGGCCAGGTCACCCAGGACCCACCACAAAGTCATCCCTCCACAGAGTTGGGAGCTTCCAGGGTGCAAACCTCTGGCATCTGCCCTCCCCAGCATCCCAGACACTGCACACAGCGCAGGCAGAGAGGGAGGGTGGCAGCTCCTGCTCCTTTGAGACAGCCCCTAATGAACACCTCCCTCACTCCAAATAAGCTCATTAACTAAGCTCAGGAGCCTTAAGCATCTCACTGATTAAAACAACGTGTGCCATACTGATGGGCCAGGTGTCACCAATTCCTGACACCAGATTCTCCAGAGAGGTGAAGAAACTCTCCAGAGACACAGCAGAATAACTAAATTTAAAACAATCCAAAACACAAACAAACAAACCAATAGTAAACAAAGACCTCTGGGATGGATAGAGGATCAGAAATCACAGTGCTCAGTATGAACTGTTATAGATTATCCTGAAATGTTCCCATCCCTTCTCATCACGTTTGCAGGAACATGAAACACAGCACCAGGAGCTTTTATGCCAGAGTTTCTGACCATGAACTTCATTGGAAAGAGAGGAAATATTAAGGGGAAAAAAGTGGCAAGGAGGCATCTCCCAACTGAAGCTGTGTTTGGAGACAAAATTTATTTGATATTATTATAAGGAATGCCCAAGTTCTTGGTCTTCATCAGCTCCCAGCACAAACAAGCTCAATAATAAATCGGCATCAGGAGCAAATAACCAAAGGAGTGGGGATAAAAAACTCTGGACTCCCCAGAGCTGGGTTTTCTTTACAACATATGTGAGGATAGATTCAAAGTAGCTGTACCTGTTGTGTGTTACTACCACTTCCAGTAACATCAGCACAGCCAAAGCCAAGCACAATTAGACAAATCATGTACCACAAAGGGGGATCCCCAGCTTCAAATCTTCCTGCTGTTATTTAAGACCCCACTTAGCTGCTATTTTTCCCAGATTACATCACTTGTTTTCTATGCTTATTAGATTCCAAACTGACTGCTCCCTGGGATATAACGACTCTTCTCCCAAAAGGAGGAGGCTTTGTGCCTTTCTCTCCCCTTACTACCAGCCTCCTTCTCCTGGGGACTCAACATAGCCACACAAACTCTGAGCAGCTCCAAACAAGCATGTGGAGTACAAAGTTTTGTCTGCTGAGACCCCTGTGGAGGACTTCTGGCACGCGACACTCACCCTTATGGTGCTTGCTAACGAAGGATAAGTTCCTGACCCAGGCCCAATTCTGATTCCCGTCTCTCTGGCAAAGGTGACATGAGCCTGTCCATGGCTGTGCTCAGCCAAGGACTCGTGAGGGAAGGATGGCAGGCAGTCTAAACCCCTCCATGCTATTGCCTCGTCCTATGAATCAGCTCCATAGTAATCTGGCAAGGGGAATACCCTGGAGTTCATACTTCAGTCACTTGTCGTGGTCACCAAAGAACACCTCTGTGCCACCAGTGCCATAAGCTGTGCCTTCCTGGGAGGAGCGGTGTGCTCCTCTGGGATCAGCAAGGCTCCTTGACACAAGAAATCAGACAGGAGTGGTGCCAGAAATCTGTCCAGCTCACCCCAGAGAGATCAAGCTGGCAGACTATTTCTGAGGATAATTTATATGAAAATTAAAATATTTAAGCCTCTTTAACAGCCAAAGGATACTTCAAGAAACAAAAAAAAGTGCCAGCAGCCACCTTAGATTACCCTTGGAAGGGGAGTATGGCCTAACCTACCTGTTTCATCCCAGATGAAGAAAAGAAGAAAAACAGAATGAAACAGAGCGGTGGAAGGGACCGTGGGGATGATACGGACAGCCAGAGCAGCAGCACTCCCCACAGAACACATCCACACCCTCCCCACTGTTAATGCAGCAGCAAGCGTTAGAGCCTGGCTGGTGGAGTTCCCTCGTCCTCGTGCTCCTGGTGGAATTCCCTCTTCCTCGTGCTCCCGCCCGCCCGCAGCGCTGCCCGGCACTTACTGAGCCATCCCACGCTGGGGCTGCGCTGCACTCCCAGTTCATCGTCCAACGTGCGCGTGGCCAGGCAGGGCACGGAGCTCTCGAGCGGGCTGCGTGCTTGTGCCAGCCAAGCAGGAGACAGGAGCAGCAGCAAAGAGCAGGAAGAGAGCAAAGGGGAAAAGTTAAAAGAAAAGAAAATTATGCCAGAAAGAAAGGCTTAAGCAGTGGTACAGGGAAGCCAGGCAGGAGAGAAGGTTTGAGCGAACACCAAAGCCCACTCATTTAGATCCTGACATCTCCGCAGCTTCACCTCGCAGCGTTCACTTGGCAGGACTGGACACAACTTTCCATCCCTGGTGTCTGAAATTCAGGCATCTTTGAAGCAGATCTCAAGGAATTGAGGGAGCAGCTGCAGTGCTGGTGGCACTGAACAGTTCCAGGCTGCAGCACCATCAGTAACAACAGGTTTTTTGAAAATAAAGATCAGGTTATGTCCCAGGAGCCAACTTTGAGCATCCTGACCCCATCCGTACACACTCAGGCACACCAATCCAGACTTGGAAATGCTCACCTTAGTCTGCAATGCTTCCAATGATGCCAATACATACATGGATAGGGGCTTTCCAAGCATTCCTTGGACACCACTTCATTTCTGGTATTGTTCAGCTGCTGCCACTGTTCAGCTATAAAGGCAGCAGTCACAGTTCACACTTCATGTGAAAAGCACTGAACTGATTAATCCTGAACCAGAGAAGCCATGGCTGCCCCATCCCTGGAAGTGTCCAAGGACAGGGCTTGGAGTGACCTCGGCTAGTGGAAGGTGTCCCTTCCAGTGACAGGGAGCTGGAACAAGATGTTCTTTCAGCTCCCTTCCAGCCCAGACTCTTCTAGGATTCTAAAGCAGAATAAAACCTTTCTCCCCCCGCAGCCAGGTACCCTCCTGTCTGTGCCTCAGCTGACACCTTGCCAACAGCCTGCTGTTCCCACTCAACCAAACCATGCTGCCAGCACAGTGTGAACCAACAGTGCTCAGGAGGTGTTTAGGCAGCACCCACGCGGTGATGGGACTGTGCCATTATTTATGGTGGTTAAACACACTCACTTAAACACATCACAGTTTTCTACAGGCTCTGCCAGCTTGGGTTTAACAGCATTTGATCGTTTCTCACTTGCCAAAGGCTCCCACAGGTGTTAAATTATCCAAAATGCTGGCAGGCACAAAGCTCTGAAAGAAAAATCTCAAAATGGAGAGCAAATGTCATCACAGAAGGCTGGTAAATATTGGTCAGTCCTCAGGCTCCTGCAGAAGGGATGGAGACCACAGATCCCATGTTATAGCAGGGCAAATCCCAAGGTGTGCCAGCTGAAGAGATGCTAGCCCAGATGTTATGTACTGCTCCAGGGATGCAGGACAAGGGCTGTGCCAGGAAGGAATACAAAGAACTCTTCAAAAGCCACTCAACAAAACTAGACACACACAAAAACCTAGCAAAAACCCATTAAAAACCCCTGCAGGAGTCCCATCAACATGTAACACAGAAATATCCTTGCTGAACACTTCATACAGCTCAACCTTCGACCAATGGAAGCAAGGAAAAGGGCTGTGTTTTCACAAGGTAACGTGGAGAGACTGCTTAGTCCAGCTTTGTATGCCCAGAATTTTGGCAGTCATCTTTTTCCTACTGAACAGACAGCAAAAGAGTGTTGTGATTTATCCTCCTCCATACATGGCACACAAGGAACTACCCTCTGTTGCCCAATTCCCTTCCCAGAGCAAAGGGATTCCTGACAAAACATCCTGCAACAGCATGACTCACATCAACCTCTACGATGCAGCAACGAAGAGCATGTGTCAGAGCACACCTTGGCCATGTCTCTTCCCATCTGATCACTACCTTACCTTCAAACAGAGCAGTGACATCAAAGATGGGGGCTGGGAATGACTCATCCAGGACCACAGAGCCACCCCCATGCCTAGGGAGGGCTGGGAAAGGATAGAGATGCTCCAGGAACAGTTATGGCAGGGAGATGGGCAGAGACATGTCTCTTTCTTAGGTTCCTGAATTTCTAGAGCCATCTCAGATAACTGCATGGGGCTCATTCATCTCAGAAGCCAAAAATAAGAACATTTTGGAGGCCCTAACACTTCAATTATTTAAGCACTCTGAACCAAGTGCAATAGAGGCACCTCAGGATTTTTTTTGAGCCAGAGCCCAGGGTATATTTCCAAATTTCAGATCTAGCAAACAGGTCCCACCCCTGGAAGTGTTCAAGAGCAGGTTGGCTGGTTTGCAGAGGTTGTCCCTGCTGAGCCAGTCAAGCAGGGGGCAGCTACACCAGCCTATAAAGGTGTTGGGCAGAGGGCAGGCAGACGCTCAGACCTATTGGATGGAAGCTTCACTGACACTGAAATGAAAACAAACACCTACCTGGAAAGAAACTCTAGGGAAATTTCTGAGTGCCTGGGGCCGGTGGCACAGTCATTAGGGTGATTAGCTATGCTAAGAGACAGCTGCACTACTGCTGGCCTCATAAAATTTTTATCTGTCAAAAGCACACTCAAGACACCCATTATATTCAAGGTATAACCTGATCACATACATTCTGTAGTTACTTTTTCATTGAAGTGTAAATAATAAATAACAGTAATGACTATTCATGAGGTACTTCCCCTGTATATCAGTCTCACCCTCCTAAAGTCTCAATGCACTTGTACTGTTATGGAACAGAGTGTGTTATACATCCTCAGAGCACATCAATATCCCAGGTGGGAGAACAGAGACAGAACAACATAAAAGGAGTGGCTGATGGCCAGACCAGGAAAGAATTCCTGGAGAATCAGTCCAACTGAGCCAGGACCTGCACAGCCCATTCAAACAAGAACAAGAAATTAAATTGAAATCACTTAAAATCCAAGTAAAGAAGGCCTTTAGCCATGAAAAATGAGCAAGGGCTGAATAAGAATGTGAGGAATGCCCTTTGTTAGCATCACTCTTCCTGGGATAAGTTCTGCCTACGTGCAGGAAAAGGGGTTTGCAGCTGAGAACTGCGGGCATCCTCTACAAGAGGCAACTGAAACACCTGAGCACCAGGAGCAGAAGACGTGTCTGTCTGCTGTTCAGCCTCCCACACACCATGGCCACAGGCCAGGGTTCTGCTCCCCACAGCAAACCTGGCCACCAAAGGTCCTGGAGGTGGTACTGGAAAGTATGTGCCTTCCATCCGAACCGTGGGGAGCACACCGTAGGAAGGCATCCAGCAGGCCAGGCTGGCTTGGGCTTGTAGCAAAGTGGTCCAGCAGAAGGAGTCCCTGCCCACGGCTCCTCCAGCTATAGGACTCATCTGGCCATGCTGAGCCCCTTCCCTAAAGCTGTCATTTCCTCCCAGTGCTCTCCCTAGAGTCCAGTCCCTCTCATCTCCATTGGCCTCCTGCAGGGATATTCACTGAGAAGGCTCCCTTGGTTCACATTACTGCACCTTGCCCGACTCGCTCACTCACCACCTTATCAAGGCACTTGGACACGACAAGAGGCGTCACCCAGAGCAAGGAACAGTCTCCACACACACACACTCTCCTGCTGCAAAATCAAAGGATGATCCAAAGCAGGAAATATTAATGAAGTGTGAGAATAGGTTAGGTAGGAATGTTAGGGTGAGTTTTAGAAGCCAAACACAGCAAGCTAAGAGGCCTTTGGTGGAGCAAGAAGAAATTAGTTTCTTTCCTTTCTTTTATTTCTGGGTATTTTAAAATGGCAACTTTTAGCCCAATTTTCAGACTGCCAGAGAAAACAGTCGAGAGAACTCCAAGGCATGGCAAGAGGCATAAATCTCCTCTTTTTTTTATTACCATGAGCAAGAAGACCCCAAATCTCCACCCAGGAGCAAGCACCAAGTCAGTGCCCAGGCCTCCGTAGCTGTCTGCATACACACACACACACACACATTTAGGGACACCACTACCAACATGGCACTACCTATTACACCTCTTTTAGAGAGAAGAGGACACATATTCACAATACACACCACAAAACTATTTTAGGATGAATAAAGCAAGATGGAAATCAGCTTTACCCCACTGGACAATGATTGCATGGCAATAAAATGCAAGCTAGGTGTTACTGCCAGGTGATTTTTGATTGACAGTGCCACCGACACTGTCTGTTACAGACACGGAATGTGCATGGAAGCTTTGTCTCTGCCCAAATGTTTCAGGTGATCAGCCTTTTAAGATTCAGGTGCCACCAAAGTTTTTGGCGAATCTCTCTTATCACTGCTCCTAAACCATCTCCTAGACTCCAGCTGCAAGAGCACCCTCCTGCCTTCCTGCCTGCCCCTGCCCCTGTCAGTCCAGTGAAGGTGTGCTTAGAGCGCCGTGCCAGGGCCGAAGCAGCCTGCAGAGCCTGCTGATGTGCCATCAGCACAGCCTTGCTACTCCACGGGGTTAGGAAGCAGTGTCAGGGCCACGCAGTTAGTTCTGGGCGGGCGGGTTGCTGTGACAGAGAAGGCTATAGCCAGGTAGCCTCTGCATTACCATTATCGGGGTTGGAAAACATCCTACTTGCACTGGAGACGGTCTTTCCAATGTCAGCCAGCGAGCGCAGGTTGGATTTCTTGGTCTGGTGCCGGTGCTTCCTGAGCAGTGTGTAGGTGACTTTGTCCTTCAGTTCGGATTTCAACAGCCCCGTCTCGATCTGATTGTCAACGATCATCTCTGTGGCCAGCACAGGAAGAGGGAAGGAGGGGAGAGCAAAGTTAACCACAGAGCTCACAATTGCTTCCAGGGAGAGCAAAGAGAGAGGCTGGAGGCATTTAAACCCTGCCTTTTTGAAGGCTTTCTTACCATCTCAAAGCCAGCTTTTATTTGTATGAAAATCTGTTAGACATTCCTCTTGAAAGAGAACATAAGCATTTCCAGCATGAGCCACTAACACACCCATTGCACTGAGACTCCCTTCTGCTATTTCCTACATGTCACAGAGACTATTTCAAAGACCAGGGTAAGATGGTTCTTAGCTCAGAAATGGAATCTCATATGAGCCTGGACTTTAATGAAGATACTATTACTATATTGCAAGTTCCATGAAGCTCAAAAAAGCACTCAGAAAATCTTCTATAAGGTTTAACAAGGTCTGAGTTCACCTTGCAGGCCCCCAGTAAAACCTAATCTAAAGACAGGAGGAAGTCCTGGAGATGAACCACTAATTAAATCATTCACTTGCACTACTGAAGTGACAGCAACTACAAGCGGCAGAACTTGCTCCAGTTACCACAGGATGTATTATATGGCTTTACTTTTCATGGACCCACCAGGAGAAAAGGCCCCCAGCATCCTCAATGCCTGCTCACTTCCCATCAATTCCCTCCTTTCTCCTCCCTTATCCCAGAGGAAAAAGACAAAAAGGTGGCCAGACTTATGAAGAATGTCCCCTGTGCAGTAAGTCTCACATGAAGTTGTTCCCTTGGTGACACAAGTTCATGTGCTGTCCCCTGAGGGCAAGTGGCAGCTCATATTTGTCTGCTGGTAACTTTTATTTGTGCTAATAATAAAAGTTATGCCAAGGGGGAGGCAGGACATGCATCACATTTGCTAACTCAGTGAGTCAGAAAGTCATCCTCTACGTGCTGCCCAAGAATTAATGCCTCTTCAAATCCCTAAGGAAGCACCTAGTTCTTCCTCTCAAATTAAGACAGGGTGGGCATACGCACGTAGCTACCCTTATACAACATGCTTGCCAAAAGGCTGACCTTTGTTAAGTGTTATTTTAATACAAACTTTTCTTGCTCATGGTTTTGGTTAGTGATTTTTGGAGTATTTTCTTCAGAACCTTCATTCAAGTTTATCCTTCTCTAGCTGGTACTTCCCTTCCCTCTTGCTGATAAAACACAAACAACAAAGAGAGTTTTTCTTCAGAGTTTTCCTTTCCTGTGTGTCACTACCAGACACAAGTTAAGTGATCATGATTAAATCATCCTGGAAATCCAGTGCTGGATATCCCTACCTGTCTGATTAAGGGTCTGGACCAGCAAAACCACCCCGCTCAGGACAGTGTCACAGTGCCACAGCAACAGCAGCCACCGATGTGTAATTTAATCTCCTAGGAATTAGATTTAATTTGGGGGTTGAAGAAGGAGATTGAAGGTGACATCTTGAAGGGACTTCAAAAGAAAATTTAATGTTTGAGGGTTTAAGGCTTTGGACCATGAACACCAGCTTCTGAAGCAGGTTCACCTTCAGCCAAAAACTTGAGAGGTTCTTGGGGGGGTTATTTTTTTAAAAGTTTGCAAAGCTGTGCATTTGGATCCACAGACACAAAAGCAGAGGAAGACACATGTCAGCATAAGCACTTGCAAAATTAAGTTCAAAACTCTGTATTTAACACCATAAGCAGCTGTAATTCCTACAATCCAGTGTATGGGAGAATTCTGTGCCAGGATAATTTTGACCTTACTTCCTGAGATAATCATTCAAAACACTGAGTTCTGGCACAGGAAGTACTTAATTTTGCTCTTTTAAATCTCTTCATGTAAGGGCTCTTAAACTCAGCATTTTGGTTAAATGTCCCTCCACTGGATGGCTCACTTGGAAAATTTATTTTCTCTAAGCTATCAAACACACCACAGGCAACATGATTTGGCTCTCAGCATATCACCAAGTGTCACCCTGGGCCACAGCTAATCTGACTGTATAAAAACTGCCCTCCCATTCCACAGAGCAGAGCAGCAGCTGGTGCTGGGGGTGCTCTTCCCTCTTCCTTGCTGGGGGCTCCTAAACACAGCCCTATGTGCCCTCAGTGGGCAGCTGAACACCTCACCCAAGAGCAGTTCCTGGCCCAAGTTGTTCTGCATGAACAGTACCTGATGGGTGTCTCTGTCCCCAGACGTGGCCCTTTCACATATCACCTTTTCCACAGTGAACATAAACTAAATGGATTTCTTCCTGCACTGAGAAGTACCTTTTTCATCTATCCGTTATCTTTTTCCAGGTACTTTCTAGTTTTTCCCTCTTTTTCTTTGTTCTTTTATTTTTCTCTTTTATTGGAAAAGCAGTGCTTTTTCATTAAAACCACCCATAAAGCCATACCAGAGTTAAGAAAAATGTGTGGGGAAGTGGTGAGAGAAAGAGCCAAGCCTGGTGTACTTACCCACCACCTGTGGGAGGGAAGAGGCTTCCATATCCAGCATGATGGAGCCCTTCTCTATGCACGTCCTCAGCTCGAACAGGCTGTGCAGAGACAAGGTGGCCACATGCGGTTTGCTCCATCGCTCCCCACCTTGTTCTACCTTCTCCTCAAACTTGATCCACCTGCAACAGGGCAGAACAATGAGATGGGGTTAATGTTGCCTCCTTGCAGGGAAATAAACCAGCATTTCTGCAAATAAGGCAACTTGTCCTTCACTATCTTGGCAGTTCTGATTTAATGGTTGGACTCTATTGTCTTAGAGGGCTGTTCCAAACTAAATTGATTCTGTGATTCAATTTCAGGCAGTAAAATATGGAATCAGAAACTGCCAAGAGGGAGGCAGCATGGAATACTACTGTCCCATGCCCACAGGCAAAGAGGGGAAGAGAGGAGCACATCCCAGCCACGTCTGAAGGTGCTCTTGGAGAACAATTGAGCCACCAAAGGGGAAGGCACATACTAAGGAGCTTGCTCTTTCCCTCCAGCTGCTGTTTAATGATTTAACCAAGCAGGTCTGAAAAACCCAGAAAACTTATCTCTAATGGAAGGTGAGAGCAAAGGGTAAATCCTGGTTGTGCAAAACACTCTTTACATCCCTAAAACTACATCCCAACAGCAGGGAAGCAGGAGGCTCCGTGTCCCTGCAGCCTTGACCCTGCCCTTGGCCCTGCTGCGCCCAGCCCAGAGCACACAGGGATGGGCAGTGAGATGGAGCACAGGGCTCCTGGGAGGGCTGGGGGATCTCAGCTGGCCCACACCTTCCTCCTCACCACAGCACCCAGCAACAGCTTTGGTGCAAACTGGGGGATCAGGAAAAGGTGGTTCAGTACACCCTAATGGCAAAGCAGAAATGCTTTTTAACTCCCTCTTGAGACGCCATTTTAATATATGTGGAAAATGAAAATTCCAGTGACTAATATAAAGAGATTATTAAGAAAAAGCACCCCACACGTAAGGTAAGGAAGGTCATAAATTTGTTCAAAAGAATATTATTAACAGCAAGGGAAATTATCTTTAATCCTGAAAAATGTATTACTTGAGGATTAATCAATTATGCTTCACAATTGCAATAATCTCTTTCTGAGACTTTGTTTTATTAAAGCTGCTTTTTAATTCAAGATAAAAGTCTGATTTTCATCTCCAATTAATAAGGTCCTTTTAGTTCACAAAAACTGTTTCCTAGGACACCTGAGGGACCTGGGTGGATGCAAAGCTGTGCACTTCAGGGGCTTTGTGTGATGTAGGACCGAGTTACATTTACCCAGTTACAGGAGGAAGGCTGCAAATTACCAGTGTTTGTCTTTCCAAGGAAAGTGATTACTCACAACTATCAATATTTGCTTTTTGTTTACTTTTCTCACTACAACCCACAATCCCAACACAATAAACCAAACATTATCTTGCAAACCTGGGTGAAAAAATGCCTGCTCAATTCACGCAATCAGAGAGTGGTGTGGGTTGGGAGGGACCTCAGAGGTCCAAACTGCTGCCATGGGCAGGGGCACCCTCACTAAGCAGCTCCACTACCATGGGAACGCCTGCATTCCAGAGGTGGTCATAGGACACAGAGTGAAGCAGAAAAAGGAGAAGACCTGCAGCAGCTGGAGGGCCCTAGCCTGTCATGAGGCTCAGTGAAGTGTCTTTGGGGACCAAGATATGTCCACCATAGTATAGGGACTGTCACTTTATAAAGCAGAGAGATTGCAGGAAAATGATGGGATTACAGAGAAAAGGAATGACAGTGCTGGACTGTCGGATGGTGGATATGGGGTTTTTAAACTTCTGTTATTATCTTTTTTTGTTATATAAGCTGTGCCAGGAATTACATTTTTATCCTTCACCCTCTTACATCTTGCACGGGGCTGTTGGGAGTGAGGTGCAGCAGACAGAAGGAATGTGTAAATAGATGTCAGAACAGAGCAGGAGGGAGATGAGGAAGGTAATTTGATTGTTTGTTATCTCAAATATGAGTGCAGCCTATAGCCCTGCACCAGTGTGCAGGCAGCGTTGCTCTCCCCATCTGGGAGCTGTGCAGTTCTACACTGGGGCCACGGGAAGCATCAGCCCCACAAGGCCTCTTCTATCCTCTCCTTTCTCCTCCACCTGCACGGCCCTGCACTTTTTCCTGTGTTCAGCACTGGCTCCTGCAATTTGCCAGTTGTGGGAAGAGAGCATTCTGCAGCCGCAGATGTGAAACAACTGCAAAACAGCTGGCAGATCCTGTGCCCACTGAAGCACAGTGCCAGCCAGCTCTGGATGCTCTGGGAGATGCTCTGCAGCTCTCAGGAGGTTCTATGGCGCAAGATTAAGTAATTTCAGGAATGTACTGAAAAATCCTGAACTATCAGACACTTTGTAACATTACTATCCACAAAGGCAGGAGGTTGAGCCAATTTAGAAATTTAACAGCACTTCAACAGGGAGCACCCTGTTACATTCTGTCATTTATACAAAGAATCATGGATCCATTCATATTGGCAAAGTCCTCTGAAATTATCTAATCCAAACATTAATCCAGCAAAGCCAAGGCCACCACCAACCCATGTGCCTAAACATCACATCTACACATTTGTTAAATCCCACAAGAGATAAGGACTCCACCACTACCCTGCACAGACAACCCTATGGGTGAAGAAATCTTCCCTAATAACCAACCTAAACCTCCCCTGGCACAACTTGAGGCTCCTTCCTCTCATTATGTGGTTTGCTGCCTGGGAGAAGAACCCTGTAAAGAACCCCACACACCGCTCAATGCAGCACTCCTACCAAATTACACCAATTTGAGGTGTAAAAACACCTAAAATAGAAGTGCTGAATTCATGGTAAGAGGAAAGAAGAACAATAAAGGGAGAAAAAGGATGAGCAACAAGTCAGAAGTTAGAGGGCAAAAGGTGAGAAGTCATTAAGTTCCTCAAGCAACTGAGAAGCAAAAAATAAATTAAGAGGTAAAGGGGTAGGTGGTGGAGCAACTCATTAAATCACAGGTAAAAAACATTACGGTGACCAAACAGGGGCTAACACTGAACACAGACAGCACCCTTAAGAGGGGGAGGTGGGGAAAGAGCTTAGCCCAGACACTATAAAGGAAAAGAAAAATCCCCAGTCTCAGTGAGGGCAATTTGGAATAGGTCAGTGGTGTTCAGATATAAACTACATGTAACTTGTAGAAGCCAGACCCCAAAAACATCCCAGCTTTTTTGTCACGGCTTTTTGACAAAACTAACAGTAGCATCAAAGAACCCAACCAAGGAACTCAAAGCAAGCAACTCTATTCAGCATTTAACATGCACCTTGAGTAATTTCTCAACAAGAAAACACCTGTTAGCTTTTTTTCCTATTTAGAATTAATTCCATCAGTAATTCACGAAGACAGGGACAGCCTGTCCCTGTGAGGTGGGACCAGGCTCAAAAGCCATTTCGGGGCAATAGCACGGGAGCAGTTTTGACTCGGCCAAATGGGAATTGGCAACTTCCTCCAGTTCCGGAGGAAGTTATGACTCAGTTCCAGCCAGGTCATATTTCCCTTTGGAAAACACTACTGAACCCCTGCTTTTCCCTCCACAGGCAAACTACTTCAATCAATCTGGCACTCTCTTGTTTTCCTAGTTTTACTTTTGGAAAATTTAAACAAACACTAAAATGCTCTCATTTATCAAAGAATGGTAATTTGAACTATACAGGCTCCTTTCTGTGGCTTCCCCATGCGATCCTGCAGCACGGGTATTCCCCAATGGAATGCTAAACCAGGAATCTCCCATGGAAAGCACTGCTGGCTGCCCTTCCCTTTGAGGGTAAAGGAAAACCAACCCACCTTGCAGTCTCCTTCCACTCCATCTCCTGTCCATCGACAGCCAGAAGCTCATCCAGCTCGGTGAAGAGCTGCGGGGGCGCGGGGCTGTCATCTTCCTCTCCGAGGATGAAGCGGATGCGCTCGGCGGCAGGGGAGACTGCAGAGGTGAAAATACTGCGGTTAACGGCCTGCGAGATGACCAGGGACGTGCGGCTCCTCTCCTTGCCCTGCTCCCCAAGGCCATTCAGCTGTTTCTCCAGGCTGCCTCTGCCATCTGACATCCTCGTCGCTGCGGACGCAGGGGCGTGAGCGAGGGTGCCTCTATCTCCCTCTCTCCCCTTCCTTGCCTCTCGCTGAACTTCTTACAAGTTCAAGCTGGGAGTAAAGTTCAGGAAAACTTGTCTCTTCCTACAGACCTTAACTATGTTACAGCAATTTGCAGTCCTTGTGAAAATAAAGCACTATGGAGCTCAGAACCAATGTGCTCTGTGGCGCTGCCCGAGGACCTGCCGCTCTCTGAGCAGCCCGGATCCTTCACCCCCTTTTATATATGACCTAAAACCAGTTCCAGCCAAACCAATTGGGGACTTGCTGGCACAGCATCCCATTGCTGGCTTTCCCCTCCCTCCCTGCCAGCCAGGTTTGGGCTGCCATTGGCCTGCAAGGCAGGCTGGAACCTCCCCAGCCCACCACTGAAAAACACAGGAACACTTAACAGAAGGGTTGTCTCATCTATACATGAAGAAGGCAACCCAATGCATTTAGTCAGGCACCAATGCACTGAAAAAAAAACCTGGTCCCAGCTGGAAAAGACTGCCTGTTTAGGCAAAAGAACTATGTTCAACACACAGCACAAGCAAAGCCTGTTTGCATTATAAGCTCAAGAAAAAGGACAGAAACCCTTTCCTGGTTAAGAGTTCAAAATTCAAACCTGAGAACATCACTGTCCCTATCATCCCAAGGCCCAAGGGCATCTTGTAAATGTAAGTGGAGCCCACACCACCAGAGTCACCTTGCTGGAGGGCTCCTTGGGGTCTACAGCCTTTTTCTCAGCATATCACCTTAAAACAAAGGTGTAACCATGTGAAATTTTAAGACAGACATCGTCTCTGCTGGATGTTTATCAGCATTAGAGATACACAGCAGACTATGAACTTTGAACAGTTCTGCTAAAAACTTCTTTCTTTTCAAAAGATCAGCTGGCTGTCTCTTGCAAAATAATTAATTACATCAGGTGTCCAACCACATTGATTTTTCCAGGGTAAACAGACTCTCAATTTGCAATGGGAAAAAAGAAACCGGTAAAAAACATGCCCTTTACTCCTTTTTCTTTTCCTTAAATAAACTTTGATAGCTTTCTTCCTAAATTACTCAGAGTGATGATGTTTCAGTGATATAGATTTCTTTTTGACTGAAAGTATATTTATAATCACAAATGCCCTTGGAATCTTCTGGGAGCCAAGGACCTTGCCCTGCTGCTACAGCAGCCTCCCCATCACGAGGCATTCGGCTCCCTGCAGACTTCAGGAGAGCTGGAGATAGACTTCTGACAAGGGCCTGGAGTGACAAGACCAGGGGGTCCCACTGACACAGGGTAGGGTTAGATGCGATATCAGGAAGAAATCCTTCCCTGTGATGGTGGGGAGGCCCTGGCACAGGTTGCCTAGAGAAGTTGTAGCTGCCCCATCCCTGGAAGTGTCTAAGCCCAGGTTGAATGGGGCTTGGGGCAACCTGGGCTAAGTGGAAGGTGTCCCTGCCCGTGGCAGAGGGCTGGAGATGCCAGACTATCCATCCATATCATGCATGTTCCATCATCCTCTCCCTTCACCTACACTAATGAATCTCAACATACTTTTATATTCAAATAGAATTCAAATATATGTTAGATTTGATGAACTCACAGGTTGGACTTGATGATCTTAGAGGTCTCTTCCAACCTCATTATTCTGTGATTCTGTGAATATCACAGCTAGAAAACAAATAAAATACATGTCCATCTTACTGCTTCAACAAGCAAGGTGGACCACAGAAGTGGCTGCTGCTTGGAAGAGGCTGTAGGAGAAGGGACTGCAGAGCTTCTTGAGCTGTTGAAGGCATCCACTGGAGCCAATGGGAAAAGTCTCTCTCGAGTCACTCTGAAGTGTTTTTACTATATGGAAGTGTTACCCTGATATTCCCACCCATAACCTGATCATTCCACAGTATTTTGCATACTGAACCTGGGTGTCCATCGTCCGTCACCCCTTCTTTCTTGCCTGCCTCCTCTTCCTGTTGCTAACTTCCCATTATCCACACTTAGGGCCGATGATAAGGCTCACAATCCCATTAGGGCTCTTGCTGGGTCACAGGTCCCTGATGCTCGCTTGACCACATGTTCTTTATTGCAATTTTGTGGGTTAATGGGCCGTTTATGGGTTGTTTATGTGCTCTCTTTAGCAAGGAGAACTTATTTTCATCTCAATCTGCAGGCGAACACCGTGTGCTAGGCACGGGCAGCCAGCTGAGCACCGGGCTCAGGGACTGGAGAGTCATTAACCCGGGGGGTGACCCCTCAGCCCTCTGCCTGCCCGACCTTTGAGCACCACCTCGCCAGGCTGGCCCAGCCTTGGCCATCACCTTCGCTTCCACCTCAGCCGTGCAGCTCAGGAGCTGCTAAAACCAGCACCGCTGACGCCAGGAGCAGCTCAGGCTGCTCAATGCTGTTTTCCTTGCTGTCTTATTCAAGAGAACAACCTGATGGTCAGCAGACATTTGCAGCAGAGAAAAGGCTAATCCACAAATTTAGATGGCTGGGTTTATATTTTTCCCCTGAATGGGAGAGGAATTAACATATTAATTGCAGAGGGTTGAGTGTTCCAACACAACACGGATACAGAGGCAATGCCATCCATGGGGGATGCCTCTCACTTGCCCCTCTTCCCTTTCCTGTTTCATTCAACCACACACAGTCCATGAGGCAGCTTCTAAAATGGTAACTTGCACAAGAGCAAACACATCAGCAGTTTCTCCAAGTTCAGCTCAGGCCAATTCTGAGCACAATGTATACCCTCGGGTTCCCAAAGGCAAAAATCAATCTCCATCAAGAGAGAGGAATCTCAAGGAGTTCAGAAACAGGGAGAGACACATTCTAGAACAACGATCTGAAATGGGGCATGGTTGAGCTTCCCAGCCCTGCTCAGGCAATGGCTTTGGTGGCAGCCATCCCTTGCTGCCCGGTGCAATGGCACAGCCATACATGGAAGTGCCAGGGGCTTTGTGGCACCGGCCCCTATCCTAAAGCCACCTCCTGCTTCGGTGCCGAGGGCCTGGCTGGTGGTGGGTGGAAGACAGTTTCAGCCTGCCTCTCTGGGTGTACAGTGCTGCCTCAGGATGGAGGACAGGGAATATCTCTGTTGATGCACAAGTTAAGCAGCCTGTTCTCCGCTCAGCCGACATGCTTTTCCTCCTGCTTTTTCATCTGGCTGTTATCAGGGACACTTCTGAAGACCCTGGGGACCTGCACCTCAGTCAACTGCTTCCTCCACCCGAGGCCTAAGGGACCATCAGACACAAAGCTCTGTTATTTCTAAGTGCGTTGCCAGCTACAGAAATCCCCAAGAGACCTGGTGCAAATCCCTCCCCAGAGCCTGTGGAACCAGTATCAAGGAAAGCTGTTTGTCAAATGTGCTTTCCAGGCAGGCTTATTAAAATAGTACATGATCGCACTCCCGTTCCTTTCTGAGGCCACCCTCCCTCTGCCAAAGCCTGGGTCAAACCCATCCACAGTCAGAGCAGTGACACACTTGTGCAGACACCTGTAACAGATTTAAATTTGTTTCCTTTCTAGTTCAGCTGATTTCCCTTCCAAAATTCTCTGTTACCAAAACCAACTTTAATTGTGTGTCACTATCAACACAAGACGCCAGCTAAAGGCATATGGGGAGGCTTTGGTGAACCACAGTCCCACCAGCTTTCTTTAAAGACAAACCTGAATGGAATGCCACCTAAAACCAGGAGATGCTGAGAATAATCACCTGAGACACCTCTGCCGGTTCCTGTATGGCATCCACACACTGGGCCAAGGCCACAGGGTAAGACAGGTGATGCTCTCCTGTTTTACCAGCAATATTGTCCAGCACTTCTGTACACACAGAATGCATGCTATTGCTGCACCTTTGCAGGTAAGAACTGTTATTTCCTTTATGGAAGGGAGAATGATCACTTCAGGTAACACCAATTTCTGCAGAACTGGTGAGGGTCCCCAGGTAAGAACTGATTTCCCGAGTCTCCAAGAGCTCCACCAAGCACAAGCATCCCTGAGCACCACCAAAGAAACTGAGTGCACATGGATTTACATTGCTTTTGGAAAGACTGCTCTGAGTTTTTGGGAACACTGCTCCAAGGCCAAACAGCGGCCTTTCCCAAGGTCCCACAGAATCACCCCTGGGTGATCTGCTCCCCAGCTAATCACTCTAAGCAAGCGTGAGAATTTCTCTTTTGCTTGTTTTGCGTCTTTGCTTATGACCAATTACTTTTTGACCCCGTGCCGGGGCTGGCTGTGAGGCAGATTAGACTTTCCACAGGCAGAACTTGGCAGCCAGGAGGGAACGCTCCCCACAGTACCTGGATCCCACCCCAGGCCACTTCTTGCATGACTGTGGGGTGCAGCGAATGCTCTTTGAGGTGCCTGACCTGTCTTGGAGTAAATCTTCCCTATCCTTTGATAAAGCCCCTTCCCAGACATAATGAACAGCAATGATGCCTCTGGAATAATCAATTTTTTGCTGGACTATTGGAATGCATGATAGTACATGTTTTGCTGTAAGCTCCTCTGCAGCATGTGGCATATATTAAGTGTTTGATCTGCAAAAAACTTCAGTATTGGACAAATTCTTACTAATACTGTGTTCTCTCAAGTGCCAGAAGAATGGCAGCATTTACATAACACCTGGACATTCCCAGCACCCTTGGTCTTTGGCACTGTGCACATACACACTTGGTTAAAACATTCCTTGGAGATGCAGGGAGAGGAAAAAGGACGCTTCTGCTAAAAATGTTTCACTTCATGCAATGTGCATAATCAGTCTGGGAAACTTCTAAACAAACACAGCACTATCTCATGAAAATTTGGTGATCCTTACCCCAAAAGGCAATTCTTATAAAAGAAGACAGCCTGCC